AGTCCTCAAGAATGGCAATGCATGGGGGGTATCATGGGCGAAACAGTCTGTTATGTCCATGGTACTGCTCATGTCTATAGGCGACGGTTACCACTTTCCATCAGGTGGGCTGTCAGCTTAATTACCATTCTAAGCTGCATAAAAATATGACGTGGGTTCAAATAAAATGTCGGTATGTTGGCAACTTAGATTATATAGATAGAATGTCTCCATACAAATGCCTCATAAAAATAAGTCAAGTTTTTTAACCGTGTGTGTAATTACCATAATATATATTTACTACTCAGTATATGAGAAAACTTGTATTTTAAGGTTAAATTGAAAAATGAAAACAATACAAAATTATTTATTTACTTATTTATTCATTAGTAGATACATATATGTGTACATGGCGGACTTAATGCTAAAAGCATTCTCTCCCAGTCAACCGTAGGGAAGTGTCAGAATACTCGAATGCGGTACTACTAATTATTGATATACATACATACTAAAATTACATATATAAATTATTAAGTGTATATTAAAAAGAACAAGATATACAGTACGTAATGATTCATAATGATTCTTATCGCCTTCCTTTACTAATTACTTTGATTTATATCCAACTTATAATATGTTTTAGTTTTAAATTTTATAACCAATACGAACATATAGTAGAATGTCGATTATTCGAATCAAATAAAACCAGGGATATTTTGATTTTATATCAGAGGATAGAATGAAACAACGATTAATTACAAGAAGGATGGATTTACAAAAGGTTATTATACCCACATTTAACATAGTACAACATTGTCCACGAAACCAAGCGGTGGTGTTATTTAATAAACTGCCTAAGGAATTAAAGTCACTGAATGATTTAAATATCTTCAGGACAAAATTGAAGTCATTACTGCTAGAAAGGTGTATGTACTCAATTGACGAATTCTAATTATAGTAAATTTGAATATATACCTATATTGTTTATGTTAAGAGATTACTAAGTGACTGTAATATTTGTTTTACGCTTGTTTTAATTTATATTTTATATAGTGTATGAAATTATTGTATCTACTATGACATTCAAAAACAAATTTTTGTTTATGAATAAATAAAATAAATAAATAATCGAATATCCGGATTTCAAAGTCAAATAAAACAATACCTAATTAAATTTTTATATTTTTTATTATGTAAAAGGTACATACGTCATTTAGGCAGTACGATATAAAAAAAAATTACGAGCTATAAATATAATAAATTACATAAAATACCCATTTACCCAAATTAATACATAATAACATTTCTAAATCGATAATTAGAGCCGTAAACGAAAAGTCCGGATAATCGAATATTCGGATAATTGAGATTCTACTGTATATGTGAACGTTACTAGAACTCCTTAAGAGAAAGAGTGTAAACTCAACTTGATATCAAAACCTGATATTTCAAGAGAACAACCAAACAAATTCACGTAAATAATGTAATCACATAAATAAGTAACTTCTGGTAAAATGGACTGTCCCATCCTAAAATATTGGGTGGGACAAATTATCAATACAAGAGCGTCATGACCACTCATTTGCTAACATAGGTTAAGTAAATTTATAACTAACAAAATGGGCCTTATGTAGTCTTATTAAATAAATATTGTTATTATTAATAATAATAATGGAGGTTTTATAAAAAAGGTCAAATAATCACTGTCCTTGTGTTTCAGCTAAGTCATTTTCTATCTCACGGCATACTTTCATAAAATGCCGTATATAATTGCTTTAAATTTGCAAATTGCATATTATGATTGTTTTTTTCATGCAACTTAGAATAGCAAACAAGCTGACGGCCCATCAGATGGAAAGTGGTAACCGTCGCCTATAGACATCAGCAGTACCATGGGCATAACATAGTACACTGTTTCGTACATGATACCTCCATGCGTTGCCATTCCTGAGGACTCAGGTGTTATTCCTCTGTACCCTGTAAATTCACTGCCGTATATTGTATTTTTAATATTTAACTATTTCGATTTATGCATTTTTTTTATCCGTTTATAAAAACCGTAAAGGTTTGTTTGGAAAGTCATACATACGCCTTATTAGTAAGCTACTATATATGTAGAACATATATAAGGCGCTGAGAAGAAACAAACAAATAAACTCATATTCATATATATATATATATATATATATATATATATATATATATATATATATATATATATATATATATATATATATATATATATAATATAACCATAACCGGGGGAAAAGGGATTGTTAGTAATAGAGACTGAGAATCCCATTGCTAGCAATATACCCAACCAGGTCGATCTCCTCGCGGTTTCCCCTGGAAACTATCATGGTTAATTCTTAATAAATTCATCATGATGAGCTAATTGGCCTGTTTTCATTCTCATCGATTACCCTTCACTGGTGTTCCGCCAGCGTATCCCGTTAGCGCAGGCGCAGGTTACCATTTCATTTTCACCCATCAAAAAAATAAAAATATAACCATGGCTGCTTAAATATGATACTTTTCGATTTAAAATCCTTACTAAATTTGTAAATTAACAAGTGTGTTTGTTTGTTACCTTACATTTCTTTAACGGCTTAACCAATCTCTATGAAATTTGGTATACACGTACTATATGTCACGGAGATGGATACAGGCTACATTTTATCCCGATCAGTAAACATATCCCGTTCACGCGGACGAAGTCGCGGGTCAAAACTAGTCAACTATAAACAGTATGCATAATTACATCACGAGAGAACGTGAAATAAATAGTTGTACGCTCATAATCTTAGTCGAGGGTTAACGAGGTCAAACGGGACAGACGACCTTACACCTTAATAAATCGCTAACAAACCGTTAAAACTGCGCGTAATTAATAAGTACTTGACAGACAGATCTATAATTTGATTAAAATACGTATATTTGAATACGGATTTACTTGTTTTGGTCATTTGGAGAGGATGGATGAAAGAAGAATTACGAAAGAGATTTATCGAGCGAAAATGAATGGAGATGACAGTAGGGGCCGCCCTAGACGGACGTATGTCGACCAAATAGGCGACGTGCTGAAGAAGGGCCAAATTAAAAGTACCCGTAACCGGCGAGCGTGTATGAAAAGATTGATGAATGTAGTGGAAGCGAAAGAGGTTTATTTGAATCGAAGCATTTGGCGTTCCATTGTTTCTGCCTACTCTAATGGGAGACAGGCGTCACAGATATGTATGTATGGATTTACTTGAATTATATTATATATTGTACAGTTAAACAGAAATCATATTTATTCTAGCACTTTTAAAATCGTCATCTTTTTATGATGCTGCTACTGGATTTGGAATGTTAGCAACTAATGGAGGGTTTTGACAGTAGTTTGATAGATGGGTTGGCAAACATAGTTACGCTTCAGTGATATTTTAAAATGGACGTTGCTATCCATCGCTTGGTCATAAAATTCCCTTAGTTGTCTCTTACGACAACTACGAGAAGGGAAGGTGGGGCCCATTCTATGCTGGAACCACATGGCAATCTTTCTTATATTTATCTATCTATCCTATTTAAGAGCTGCGCCCTTGTCGGTGGAGCTCTTGCCACTCACTACGATTTTCAGCGAGTCCCTTCACCTCTTGATACGACATGACACCAACTCCTTCCTTGATCTGCCCGATGTAACTATGCCTCGGTCTCCCTCTCCCCCTCTTTCCTTCTATCTTACCTTCTATTATAATGTTCATAAGTTCGTCGTGTCGTATCAAGTGTCCCAATATTTTTCCCCTTCTGTTCTCAATAGTTCTTTCTTATATATTTAACCAAAAATAAATAATACACGATACAAGCGATGCTACCTGTAGTTTTTTACTACACACTACCCAGGTAGCAATTATTCGTCATATTGACGTCGATTTTTGATCATTGACCTTAAACTGATTTAAAACTGACTCTTATTTGGCCTGGTCAATAAGTTTATACGTATTTAGTGCATACTAGCCGCGTGAAATGGGTAAGCAGCGCTTGACGTGAGTGACGTCAAGCGCTGGCTGCCACACGGAACGGAATTATTTTTCCAAGCGTAAATATCAAATCCTAAATCTTTTTCATTTACTCGTATAGATTGATAATGATTCTTTCAGATCTTTATTTATTTTTTATTTTTAAATTTCTTTATAAATTGCTCACCACACTTACAGTATCCTAAAACGTGTAGTGAGCCATAGGTTTATTTTACAAACTTAAAAATTTTAAACGACATATAAAAATATATCTAATTTGTCTTTAAATATATCAATATCTGGCTGCTGAGCGATCAGAATATTGAGTAGAGAAATAGCCTGATAAGTGGGAGCAAACTGAGCAGTACAGGTGCGAACCGGCCGTGCCGATAGTAATCGACGTGCACGCAAACGTATGCAGCGTTGAGGTGCGTACAAAGAACAACGGCTGAGAGTTGCAGGATTGTCTATTCTGCCGTTGAGCAACCGATAATAGTGCATCATCAAATTGCACTTTCGCATTACCTCGAGCGTTTCTAAACCTACCATACCGCATATGAACAACGATGGGTACAAATAAGGATAGTAGCCGTAAAGTTTTTTGTTTTTTGATGGGTGAAAATGGTATGGTAACCCCGCCTGCGCTAACGGGATACGCTGGCGGAGCACCAGTGAAGGGTGATAGATGAGAATGAAAACAGGCCAGTTAGCCCATCTTGATGAATTCATCAGGAATTAACCATGATAGTTTCCAGGGAGAACCGCGAGGAGGTCGACCTGGTTGGGTATATTGCTAGCAATGGGATTCTCAGTCTGCATTACTAACAATCCCTTCCCCCCCACCCCGAGCCGTAAAGTTTGTTTTGTTTAATTCTACTTATATTTTCAGATATAGCAAAAGAAATTTGGAATTCTCCATTTTATTTTCACTTTTGCTAATCTAATTAATTTATTTTTAGACAAATTAATTTATAGTTAGCAATACTAAACTTTAAATTAAGAAGATATTTCCTTTTGTTTCAGACACACGATGGAGTTACGATGGTGGCTCATTCTTTGGGCATGTTTATGCTTTTCATCAGGTAAGAATAATTCCGAGTTTTCTAAGTCAAGAAAGACAAATATTGCTCTGATATAAAATATATGTATTTTATATGAAACGTACAAAAGAAACAGTAGCCCTCATGCAATGCATGTATGCAAAAGCTTCAAGTTACTCTGCGAGCTATGTCAAAGTCTAACTATAATTGCCAACCCGCTTGCCAAGTGTGGCAACTACAGACAAAACTTCCCATATGAGGGAGGCCTATGTTCAATAGTGGACAGTTAACGGCTGAAATGATGATTATAATGTTTTTCATCAGGATTATTACCGTCGCAGCTATATCAGTGTACCAAATTCTCAAAAAAAATTATGTTAAATGTTACACGACTAAAAATTAACTACTACGTACTAACGGTAGTAAATTATAATATTGCTCCCATTCGAAACCCTCGGTTCGGATGCGTCACACGTCTTATTAACACATTTAGCAAGTACCATGTACCGAGGCGTAAATAATTGGCAGTGAAAGATTTCTCTTCAAAAACCTATTATATTTCAATTATTAAGAGACGTACTCCAAAAACGAACGTAACAGCCACTTATTGGGATGGAACCATAGACACGGATATAAAATAGATGTAACTCCACATAAATGGTTTGAGTTACAATTTATCGTCCTAAATAAGCTCAAAAGAGTCTAACTGTAGTCAAGTATTTTTATAATAATCATTATTTTTTTGATGCAAATTAGAATGGCAAACAAACTGACAGCCAATCTGATGGAAAGTGGTAATCATCGCCTATAGACAAGAGTGATGAAAAATGGTAATAGTAGCCTATAGACATGAGCAGTATCATGGACATAACAGAATATACTGTTTCACCCATGATACCTCTCATGATTTGCCATTCCTAAGTACTGAAATGTTATTCCTCTATACCCTGTAAATTCACTATCACATGCCATCATTCAAACTGAAGCACAGCCATGTAAACATAACTGCTTCACAGTAGAAACATGAATGGGAAAGAGGTACCCAAACAAACGACTATTGTACAGTCACCCTCTGATAAATAAAATATACTGCGTTTGGTTTACTTTATTTTTATAAATAAAACTACTAGCGACATTTTTTATGCAATCAAAAATGACAAACAATCTGATTGTCCATGTGATGTCGCATAGTAACCGTAGCCATGAAAAATACAGAGGAATAACACCATAGTACTCAGGAATGGCAACGCATTGGGGGTATCATGGGCGAAACAGTATACTCTGTTATGTCCATGGTACTGCTCATGTCTACAGGCGATGGCTACCGCTTTCCATCAGGCTGACCGTCAGCTTGTTTGACATTCTAAGTTGCATAAAAAAAATACATGCATACGCAACGTTAATAGTATTTGATGGTAAAATAGTATTTGATGGTATTTTTTATTATCTATTTTGTAAAGAGATAATTACTCCATCTAAACGTGTTTAATCATGTAACTGGCACGTAAATAGGTACAATTTTGTACTTGTCAATTATTTGCAGGCTCCACGAACATGCTGCCGGTGTTTGTCCAGGACATGAACAATTTAGCGTTATCTGAGAGCACGCCGGTCGGCGAGGTGGTCTACACGCTGCAGGGGACCGACCCTGAGGGGTTTCCAGTAAGTTCTCTCCCGCCGTTTTTATTTACTAGCTGTTTCCTGCGGCTTTGCTTACGTACATTAGTATATGAAATTAGTACCAAGTTAGGATGTAAGCTATTCGTGTACCGAATTTCACTGAAATTGGTTCAGCCGTTTAAGCGTAATTGATTTAAGTACATAAATAAGCTATCGAAGTAAATTTCGGTTAATTAAATACTGTCAAAGTGTATATATACATATATCATCGTCATAAAGCTATTGTTTTAATTTTAAAACTATTTTTTTATATTAAAACTAGCTTTAACTGGCGGCTTCATCCGCGTGATCGAGATTTATTTATTAATCGAAATAAAAAATAACCTATATCTTTCCCCACCCCCTATACGAGTAGTAGAGTAGTTGGTTAACACGTTAAGGCGCTATAAAGTAACAAACAAACAAACTCGTTTTTACATTTATAGTAGTAAATATTATTACTTATCTAAATATATTTCTTTCAGATTAAATACGATTTAGTTGGAACGGATAAGTTCGTGGTGAACTCCACTACCGGCGTCGTCACGCTCAATCGACCTTTAGATAGGGAGGTAAGTGATCATTATTGTCATTTAAACCATTATCCGTCCACTGCTGGACATAGGCCTACCCCATAGACTGACGTAACTTATGGGGAGGTAAGTATTTACAATAAATTCTTCTTAATAAACAAAATAAAGACTTTTTAAATGCGAATGTCTTACGTATTAATTATAAGTTTTTTTATTTAATTTGCTCTGATAATATAAAATGCACCTTATAGCCTTGACATAAAATGGACCATCCCTTCCTTTCCCTCGGGTGTCGTAAGATTAACTTAATGGTAGAGGGATGGCATCCTGTATCTGTCCCCTGTTGCATATTGGTCATCCCTAATGACTTTCAACAGGGGGGAAAAGGGATTGTTAGTAATGGGGATCAGCATCCCTACTAGTAGTAATATGCTTTTTTTCATACAACTTAGAATGGCAAACAAGCTGACGGCCCACCTGATGGAAAGTGGTTACCGTCGCCCATAGACATGAGCAGTACCATGGACGTAACAGAGTATACTGTTTCGCCCATGATATCCCCCGTGCGTTGCCATTCCTGAGGACTCAGGTGTTATTCCTCTGTATCCTGTAAATTCACGCCATATCCCACCCTTTAAGCCGAAACACAGCCATGCAAACACAACTGCTTAACGGTAGAAACACGAATGGGACAGAAGTACCCAAGCAATCGACTTTTGTACAAAGTCTCCCTCTGGTGAAAACGTTGAGCCGTTTTTCTCGAAGCATTTCTATGGAGATACTCTATCTATATAATGTAAGTTTATACCCTATAAGTCACCACGTTAGGCAAGCTGGGTTGCTGGGTACTGATCAGTATTATTTATTTATTTATTTTAATAAACATAAATCTTTATTGCACTAAAAACATAAAAATAAACAATGACATATAAACAATTCAACGTAAATACAGTAGCATGGAGTACAGGTTAATATATACATATAAAGATACAAAAGGCGGTCTTATCGCTAGGGCAATCTCTTACAGACAGCCTTTGGTTAAAGGGGGGAAAGGGATTGTTAGTAACGGAGACTAAAAATCCCATTGCTAGCAATATACCCAACCAGGTCGACCCTCTCGTAGTTCTCCCTGGAAACTATCATGGTTAATTACTGATTAATTCATTATGATGAGCTAACTGGCCTGTTTTCATTCTCATCGATCATCCTTCACTGGTGCTCCGCCAGCGTATCCCGTTAGCGCAGGCGAGGTTGCCATTCCATTTTCACACATCAAAAAAAAACCTTTGGTTAAAGGAGAACATACAGAAGTGGGTAGATGGCGTACGAGTGAATTGATAATTTTTTCGTATAATGCACAAAAATATCAAATACATATTGTTTATACATACACATATAAATATTGTATGTACACAATATTATTCATGATAATTAAAAAAAAAAATTATTTACAGGTGGAAGACACAATCAAGTTCCTAGTATCGATAGAGGACCAGAATCCGGATTCGAAACTTAATCAAGTATTGACACAGCCAGTGACGGTCATCGTGTTGGACGAAAATGATAATCCGCCCATATTTAAAAATGTAAGTTGCATTATTATTTCAGCCGTTAACTGTTCACTGCTGGACATAAGCCTTTCCCATAAGAGGAGTTTTGCCAGTAGTTGCCACGCTTGGCAGGTGAGTTGGCAACCGCAATTAGGCTTTTAGAGATGCCTTAAGAGGGACGCCGTTGCCCATCTAAACTATATTATACTTTATTGCAATAACATAAGATTTATAATTTTTTATACTCTACAAAAGGGTGGTGTAATGAGAAAAGTAAAAACATAACTGTTCGCGTTCATGCGAGACTCCCTTGTCACGCGTGTTGGGTTTCTCCATCGAAAACTTAATAACAGGTTCATTAAGGTACTGTATATCTACTTATGTTACGAGAAATATATGTTTTATGAAACAAAAACAAGTTTACACTCCACTAAACATGAACTGAAAAGGTTTTGTACCAGAAAGTTTTATTAAAAGTTTCATAAGTATACATTTATGATAATGATACAGCCTTTTTGTATGCAACTTAGAATGGCAAACAAGCTGACGGTCCAACTGATGGAAAGTGGCAACTGTCGTCTATAGACATGAGCAGTAACACCTTCAAGAAAAGAATATATTCCTTTTTAAAAGGCCGGCAGCACACCTGCAATGCCGCTGGTGTTGTGGATGTGGGTGCTTGTAAAAAAATAAAAAAAAAAAACACATAATGTTTCACCTATGATACATTCCGTGCGTTGCCATTCCTGAGGACTTAGGTGTTATTCCTCTGTATACTGTAAATTCACTGCCATATCCCACCCTTCAAATCGAAACGCAGCCATGCAAGCACAACTGCTACACAGTAGAAACACGAATGGACAGAGGTGCCCAAGCAAACGACTTTTGTACAAAGTCTCCCTCTGGTGATTAACGTTAACTGTCCACTGCTAAACGAGGAAACACCCCGAGGTTTTGCCAGTAGTTGGCATGCTTGGCAGGCGGGTTGGCAACTGCAATTAGGCTTTTATAAACACACATTATATTTTAATGTAAAATTGACCTATGTGTGTTTAATCGAGAATCCTCGACCTTCGGGACCGTGGGGTCCCTAAATTAGTCCGTAGTAAACCGATAGTTGTAGTAGTGCCGTGTGGTCCCGGCATAGAATAGGGCACCCCTTCCTTTCCCGTAGGTATCGTAAGAGGCGACTAAAAGAGGGCGAGAGATAGGCAACAGCGTCCCTTTTAAAACCTCTCCAGTATCTAATTGCGTTTGCTAACCCGACTGCCAAGAAACTGCTGGGAAATTACGATTATTTGAACTCAATTTCGTGTTTTGGCTCACACCGAAATCAACCCAGTAAATGAAACTTACCGTTTTATTCGTTATAGATTCTACCATAAAATGCCAAAGTTGTTTTTATAATTTTAATATTTTTAAACGGTCAAAATTACATGTAATTTTAACGTCAAATTTGTTTTTCGTTCATCCTCGAAATTTCGGAAAATATTTCATGGTAGACCATCAGTTTCTTATTTAAAATATTTATAGTACATTAATCAGATTATTTCCACATTTTAGAGTCCGTACGAGGTAGACGTTCCTGAAGACGAAAAAGTTGGGAAAACCATTCTGACCAACATATACGTTGAGGACAAGGATTCAGTTGGTGATAACTTAGAAGTCGGATGTATGAGTGACCAGGTGACTTTATTTACTTTTATTAAACGACTTCAGGAGAAATCTGGAGAATTTGGATGGATCTCTTTTATTTTTGTCGATAGCTTATAAAGCCCGTCAGAAGCCGGAGCGGCAAAGCTAAATTAGGATCCAGTTTAAAAAGTTGATGTAATTTTACAAGATCTTTTTTATTTAATTAAAATTTTTATGTATAAATGATTATATTTATTTAGTTAAAATCAAGAACTACAAGTAAAACTTAAACTTAAATAAATATACATAGAATATAAACATGAATGTAAAAAATGGAGGGGCTAAAACGAGAGATCTGGGATGAGCCGTCCGTTTCTTCTAATCTGCCACTGTTTTCTTTGTATGTTGCACAATATCTACATCATTTCTGAACTGATTTTGATACTTACTTTTACAATCGATAGGGTTTAGATATGTGGCCGTAATTTTGTTATAATTAAAATTGCTTTCTGCCATTTACTGTAGAGACGATGGGCCCGTGGGGCCCAGATGCAAAGAATTTTTATCGGACGATCGCAGCGCGCTTCATCGAGGTTACTGGTGATCCGAGAGCTGGTAGCTACTTTGCCCAAAAATAAGTTTAGCAATCCAAAGAGGTAATGCTGCTTAACCCCGGACGGTGTTCTCTACCAGTCAACCATTGGGCGAACAGACAAATAAGTAGGCGGTGCATTATTGAATAGAGGAAATATAAAGCAATACTTAATATATTGAATAAAATAGAATAGAAAACATTTATTGCCAGTAAACACACAATTACAATATAAAATATAGATAACATATACAAAAAGTGTCCCATACTCGGCAAAAGGAACCGGCTCAGCGGATGCTGTGAGTGTCCCAGCGCAATGTGAACAGCTGCACAGCGCTGGTTTTCAGCCAGTCCCTCTCTTAACAAAATATAACCAAAGTGCAGGGTGCCACTGTAAATTATTCATATAGTATAAACATATAGTTAAACTAATATAATATAATATAATCTTAGATTATATAGATAGAGCATCGAGTCTCAAAAACGGGTCAACATTTTGTCAGCTAATTATCAAATTAGCTGACTCGTTTATTTTATCCGTATTCTATATATTTACGCATAAAATGTATCTTGACGTATTATTTAATAAATAAAATGAGTATTAACGCATTAAAAAGATACATAATTTATAAAACAAAATAAATATAGAAGTTATAAAGGAATCACTTGTAACTATTTATCACGCAAAAATATATAAAAAAGTTGAGCCGTTTTTCTCGAAGCAATTCTATGGAGACACTCTATTTACATATGTAATCTAAGAATGTAATATTTACCATTCTTTTACCTACATGGTGATACATTTTATAGAAAGTGGGAGACTTTGTACAAAAGTCGATTGCTTGGGTACCTCTGTCCCATTCGTGTTTCAACCGTGAAGCAGTTGTGTTTGCATGGCTGTGTTTCGATTTGAAGGGTGGGATATCGCGTGAATTTACTGGGTACAGAGGAATAACACCTGAGTCCTCAGGAATGGCAACGCATGGGCGGTATCATGGGCGAAACAGTATACTCTGTTATGTCCATGGTACTGCTCATGTCTATAGGCGAAGGTTACCACTTTCCATCAGGTGGGCCGTCAGCTTGTTTGCCATTCTAAGTTGTATAAAAAAAAACTAAACGTGAGCACTATATTGCACATTCCTAATTTTACATCTTCTTTCCCTAAATTCATACCTGTTTTATACAAGGTCATTTCTTCTGTCAGGGTTAATTAACTAACGTTGAATTAATTAATTCCAGTGGACAGAGGCGTGCGAGAGTTTTGAAGTGGTACCTCTGAACTCGTCGTCCAATCATTACACAGGCGCGTTGGTGCTGAAGAAGAAGCTCGATTATAACGAGAGGCAGTTCTACCAATTCCAGTTGTATGCTACCGTAAGTATATGGTTTGAAGGGATACGGCAGTGAATGTTCAGGGTACAGAGGAATAACACCAGAGCCCTCAGGAGTGGCAACGCACGGGGGTATCATAGGCGAAACAGTATACTCTGTTATGTCCATGGTACTGCTCATGTCTAAAGGCGACGGTTACTTTCCATCAGGTGGACCGTCAGCTTGTTTGCCATTGTAAGTTGCAAAAAAATTCTTTAAACGTCTTCTGTATACAGACATTGTATACACACATACAAACTATAACGGATGAGGTGTTGTATTATTTTTTATTCTTATGGGAATTGGATTGGCTCTCTTGACGGAAAGTGGTAACCGTTGCCTACATTTCTAAATCATTCCATGAGTTAAGTTCCTATGGTTAATTTAAATATATGTAAATAACGTAACGCTATCCGAGTAGATCCTGTCATAGAATAGGCTACCCCTTCCTTTCCTGTAAGTGTCGTAAGAGGCGACTAAGGGAACGATTGGTGGAGAGATGGGCAGCAGCGTCTGTCTTTAAACATCACTAAAAGCCAAACTGCGTTTGCCAACACGTCTATCAAGCTTGACAATTACGAATACTATCCAAAATCCTTCTCCTATAGGAGAAGCCTATGTTCGACAATGCTAAAATAAATGCCATCATTTTAAATTGGCCGCAACAGAAAAATGGCTGATTATTTACATTAATATTTTTTTATGTCTTAAACAGACCTTTTGTTTAAACAAAAAAAGTACTTTTGTTTTTTATTATGGGTGAAAATGGTATGGTAACCCCGCCTGCACTAACGGGATACGCTGGCGAAGCACCACTGAAGGGTGATAGATGAGAATGAAAACAGGCCAGTTAGCCCATCATGATGAATTCATCAGGAATTAACCATGATAGTTTCCAGGAGGGACCGCGAGGAGGTCGACCCAGTTGGGTATATTGCTAGCAATGGGATTCTTAGTCTCCATTACTAACAATCCCTTTCCCCCCACAAAAAAAAAGTACTAAGACTACAGAATTGTTCAATATTAATTTCAGGATGGTACACTCAACTCGACAGCTCACGTGGAAGTCAAAGTGGTAGACGTTCAGAATTCACCGCCGGTGTTCAGCGGCTCCCTCACTGGAGCATTATCTGAAGATGCCCCAGTGGGAACCCTGGCGCTGACCATCAAAGCACGGGACGCGGATAGGGCGCAACCAAGGGATATTATGTTTGAACTTGTTACAAGTAAGATTTTTTTAATTCTTTGCGCAACTTGTGAAATATTTATTTATTTATTTATTATTGTTTTTTTTAAGGAAACTTACAGCTGTAATAAGTTAATAATTAACTATACATGTCAACAATAAGCTAATTAGAAGCTACCACATATAATTAACGAAAATTGAATTAGTTACAGTCTAGATCGGTGTTTCCCAACATGAGGCCCACGCCACACAGGGGGGCAATTTGATAATTAGGGGGGGGGGGGGGGGGCAATTAAAAAATAGACTCTAAGTGATTGTTCCGGGCCATTTAAATGCAATGCTACGAGTATATATTGGTGCGAAATTTAACAAAAAAAAGTAAATTAAAATAAATGTTGTAAATATTTATTAGGTAATTTATTAGTACAGTATTATGAGGCTGCTGCCCATCCCTCGCCCTCCCTTAGCCGCCTCTTACGACACCCACGGCTAAGGAAGGACTGGCCTATTCTAACAATACAAATAAATCTGTATTAATATCTTTTATTTTCTTTCAGATCCTTTAGACTTTTTCCTTCTGGACAGCGTGACAGGAGAGCTGCGCACGGCCAAGCCTCTGGACAGAGAGTCATTAGCTGACCCTTCATCACCACTGAACCTTACAGTCAGAGTGAGTGACTTTACACTTTTAAACCAGCATTTATGATGTTTCTCTTCTAAAAACCTGATGGAAGCTTTCATTTTTATTGGAAAACTGGATAATGTATACTTAAACACACACACACACACACGCGCGCACGCACGCACGCACGCACGCACGCACGCACGGACGCGCGTGAAAAAAAAATAACTTATGAATTATAATCAACTTTTTGTGGTCAGGGCATAGAATAGGCCACCCCTTTCAATCAATGGGATACCATTGATGTCGTAAGAGTCGAAAAAGGAAGGCGAGGCATGGACAGCAGCGTCCTTCTTAAAATATCTCTAAAGCCTAACTGCGATTGCCAATCCGACTGCCAAGCGTGGCAACTACTGGAAAAACCTACCAAATGGGAGGCTTATGTTCAGCAGTGGACAGTTAAAGGCTGATATGATGAATCAACTTGTTTTTACAGGCAACAGAAATAGTCAACGGGGCGCCCCTGGTCTCGGAGCTGACGTCTACCACCGCTACGGTGACGGTCACCATCAAGGACGTGAATGACGAACCGCCGCGCTTCAACAGAAGGGAATATATGATAGAAATACCAGAGAGCCTTCCCGTGGGGACGCCTCTGCCCAATCTGGATATGGTGGTGATAGATACTGACGTTGTAAGTATAGAATAGAAATGTCTTCATCTACACTAATATTATAAAGAGGAAAGATTTGTATTTTTGTGTGTATCTATGTTTGTAATGAATAAACTCAAAAACTACTTTGCCGATTTCAATAATTCTCTCACCATTAGAAAGCTACATTCACCCTGAGTAACATAGGCTATATTTATTGCTAGAAAAGATTAGGGATCCTTACTAAAACTTTACTAACGTAACTCAATGTGTAAAAAAATGCTATAAAATATCTTTCGTCGCATACGCTGCGGAAACTATTGGTGATAGAACAAAAGTATGTTCTACAATTTTAAAGAAAATATCAATAACTACAAAAAACTTCGCGATACTATATGTCCAACTATTATCGTTATGTCACAATAACCACTTTTTAAAATGTTGTAATAATGTCCACCCGTGCGAAGCCGGGACGGGCCGCTAGTGTATGTAATATAACGATAGAGTAACGACCTCAAATGCATTGCAAGAAGTCAGTGGACGCAGGTGGTCCAGGACCGTTCCTTATGGCAGCATTGAAGGAGGCCTATGTCCAGCAGTGGACAGATAATGGCTGAGATGATGATAATGTAATATAAGCAAATTGAAGTGGCAATTAGCTGGTCATATAACTCGAAGAACAGACAACCGATAGGGAAGGGGGGAAAGGGATTGTTAGTAATGGAGACTGAGAATCCCATTGCTAGCAATATACCCAACCAGGACCTCCTCGCGGTTCCCCCTGGAAACTATCATGGTGAATTCCTGATGAATTCATCATGATGGGCTAACTGGCCTGTTTTCATCCTCATCTATCACCCTTCACTGGTGCTCCGCCAGCGTATCCCGTTAGCGCAGGCGGGGCTACCGTACCATTTTCACCCATCAAAAAAAAACCAATAGGAAAGAAATATTCTTGAAGGGCGACTCTGTACGGGCTTGCTTATCTTTCAGGCTATGTCGGTTACTTTGGTTCTTTTGCGGATATCCTCGTTTCGGATTCTATCACGCAAAGAGACTCCGAGCATAGCCCTCTCCATAGCCCGCTGAGTAATTTAAATCTTTTACATACAGACAATCGTGTAGGACTATGTTTCGGTTCCATAAGGCATCACTGGCATACGAAGTTAACATTATTTGGATTGACCCTTCTTTGCATGTTTTTTTTTTGTTAGCAAAATAAATCAAGGTGATATAACTCATGTTCAAAATTAAAGGACAAATTGTTAAAAAAAAAAGTAAATTTGACAGCTATGTTTTTTTTCTGCAATGGACATTAAAAAGGTATCCAGACACGATCAACTTAAAGTGAACTTGTTCTTTTATATAATTTTTGGGCATTCAATGTTATGATGGAAATTTCCACCATTATGCAAAGAAGGGTTAAATTAGATGTTTTTTTTTACCAAATCTTGTACAAAATATTATGAATGATTTAATGTATTGTTCCATTCTACCCCAGGGTCTGAACTCGGCGTTCTCCCTGCGTTTATCTGATGAGTTCGGAGCGTTCATAGTGGAACCGTCCACCGCGACTGGTAGTGCATCTGTTACTCTACGACTAAATTCAAGCCTCGACTACGAAGACCCCAACCAGAGGAAGTTTATATTGGAGGTATGTAGCAGCCCTATTTTAAATATAGTAGCAATTTTTTATAATTGCACTTTGGTTTACAGACAGGAAATTCACATTCTAAAACCTAAATACCATTTAGGTTTTAGAATGGTTTTTTGGAGATGAATATGGAATGTTCCAACCACAACTGTTTCACGGTAGAAACACGAATGAGACAGATGTGCCCAAGTAAACGATTTTTGTACAAAATCTCCGTTGACTATACACGGCGGACATACAGCGCTCTGCGTATTCAATACAATAATTTCGGAAATACAGCAGTATTTCCGAACCGATACGACAACATAACTTTCAAGAAAAGAGCATATTCCTTTTTAAAAGGCCGGTAGCACACCTGCAATGCCGCTGGTGTTGTGGGTGACCATGGGCGGCGGTAGTCACTTACCATCAGGTGAGCCGCATGCTCATTTGCCACCTGTGTTGTAAAAAAAAAATGTTTTCAGGGTGTTGTTACGGCTGCCACGTTTTTGTAGTGCATCCACAATGTTTGCAGCGGCATGGACAGATGACTTCTATGCCATCAGACGCAAACGGATCGCATCTCTTTTATACCGACTGCGTGGCAGCAGTAACAGCATTCTGTGGACATTGTGTAATAAATACGATAGCCCGATCCTCTCATTGTGGGTCAAAATTATTATAGGGGCCATAAAATGATATTTGTATTTTTTTCTTCTACTAACATAGTTTAAGTCAATTGTTACTAACAAAAATGGATCTTTGTAATCTATAATAAAGAAATATTATTATTATTATAAAAAATATGTTATCGATGTATGATGATAGATAAGGATGAAGTCAGATAAGTTGGTAAGTTAGCCCATTGTGAAGAATTCACCAGAGATTACTAAAAATCCATGTCCACACGGTTCTCCTTGGAAACCATCGTGGTTAATTCTTGGCAAATTCGTTGCGGTGGGCTACCAGGCCTGTTTCCATCATCCCCTATCACCCCTCAGTGGAGCCCCGTTAGCATATACCTAAAATGCACGCGGAAATACCATTCCATTATCACCCATTAAAAAAAATGCGGTTTCAAAAGAGTTTCAACCTGCACTGAGGCTGTGTAACAAGCTCTCCAAACCGAGATTTTCCGTAAATGTTAGAATATATGATTTTAAAAAAAGAGCGTGTGGAAGTTTTGTCATGTGTTACCAACAAGCCATGACGGCCGACCTGATGGAAAGTGGTAACCGTCGCCTATAGACATGAGCAGTACCATAGACATAACAGAGTATACTGTTTCGCCCATGATACCCCCCATGCGTTGCCATTCCTGAAGACTCAGGTGGCATTCTTCCGTACCCTATAAAATTACGCCATATTCCACCCTTCAAACCGAAACACAACTGCTTCATGGTTGAAACACGAATGAGACAGAGGTACCCAAGCAAACGACTTTTGTACAAAGTCTCCCTTTGGTAATTCATAGGCTAGAATGTCCGTTAATTATCAGTTTATTTTGTGGTATAAATAAACATAGTGATATTTCGTATCATACACGTTGGAGCGACAGATATAGTGGGCAAGCTAGTCGGTAGAGCAATTTAAAAAGCATAAATAGTTGTCACAGTATATATTGTCACACACACAAGAACAATGTTGAGGTACACGATTAACAGAATGAATTGTTTAGGTATTATTAGACAGGCGAGAACGCGGGAAAAACGAGTATAAGCACGCGTGCGCATGCGGAGGTAAAACGGAGTCGACTGGCGTGTTGCAGTCGCGCCGGGCAAACCTTTGGTAAAACGCGATACCGCGCATGCGCATACGAACGGCGCTAATCACGCCACACGTGACAGCCAATGGGAAAGCTTTAGGTACTGCCCTCGGTCTTTTTTTTTGGTGGATGAAAATGGAATTGTAACCCCGCCTGCGTTAATGGGATACGCTGGCGGAGCACCAGTGAAGGGTGATAGATGAGAATGAAAACAGGCCAGTTAGCCCATCATGATGAATTTATCAGGAATTAACCATGATAGTTTCTAGAGGGAACCACGTGGTCGACCTGACAAGGTGTATTGCTAGCAATGGGATTTTTAGTCTCTATTACTAACAATCCCTTTCCCCCACTGCCCTCGGTTAGGTCTATGACTGCATCTTACTACAACATACAAGATTACAATAGTAAACATAGTAGTGTATATATTTACTATTGTAATCTTTTGGAGGAAACAATAAAAAGTATCTATCTATCTATTTTATACATATATATCTACTTTTACAGGTGATAGCTGAAGAGCTGCACACGTCTCCCCGTCTTTCGTCCAAAGCGAGCGTCACCATCTCGCTGGTGGATGTGAACGACAACGCGCCTGAGTTTGCCGACGAGCCGTACTTGGCGAGCGTCGCCGAGGCCGCGCCAGGGGGCGCCAGGGTCGCTGTAGTACAGGCCACCGACAGGGACACTGGCAGGTAGTATGCGGCAACAACTATTGTTTATATATGTTACTGTAAAAGCCCGTACACTGGTAAAATCTTAAGTTTTACCAGTAATTCTTAGGATTTACCAATATGAGTTGGTAAATGTGAGGAATTAATAAAAAAAACAAGATCATTTTTGTATCTTTCACCAAACCAAACCTAACCTAATCTGTCTGGGGGCAGGGATAGTTAGTAATGCGGGCTACCAGTCCTATTGCTAGCAATATACCCTGTCAGGTCCATCTCAGAAATAAACGACAAATGATTCTAAATTTGAATAATGCTAAATTAATCTAAAACATCAACAGATTCGGTACAGAGGGCATAGTGTACCAGTTGTCGGGTAACGGAGCCGAACTATTCAGAGTGGACAACAGAAGTGGAGTGATCACGGTAGCCGCCTGTCCCACGCCTGGACAACCGCCCTGCCTCGACTACGAGACTAGGAAGGACTACTTCTTGCAAATTAAGGTACGTGACAATCATAAATAAATAGTACATACATACATACATATCTGTGACGCCTGTCTCCCATTATAGTAGGCAGAAACAATGGAACGCCAAATGCTTCGATTCAAACAAACCTCTTTCGCTTCCTCCACATTCATCAATCTTTTCATATACGCTCGCCGGTTACGGGCACTTTTAATTTGGCCCTTCTTCAGCAGGTCGTAAATAGTAATAAATTATATTAAAAAAAAAACACTTACATATAATACGAAGGACTAACAAGGACAACAAAATGAGGAGAGCTTGTACAATGCTTACGTGATAATAATAAGATGGTTCCATAAAAGGAAACTGACTTCAAATATGACAAAACCGGTTATTTAGATTAAAAAAACAAAACCACTGAATCGATTTCGATAAAATTTCTATGAGACCAGTTAGTATTATCCTTTTAGATAAAAAAAATCCAAATAGCTTTACAACTGATGTAGTTATGAAGTGACAAATATATAAAAAATATAATCGAATCAACAACCTTCTTTTGTATGAAGTTGGTTGAAAAATGAAAGAGCTCGTTTGTTTGTTTGGACACGCTAATCTGTAGAACTACGAATTGAAAAATTCTTCTTGCAATTAAAAAGTATTTCTTTGGAAAAGTAATAGGTTATTAAATATTACATTACGACCACGAGAGAAACTGCGGAATACGGCTAGTTAATAAATCAACCTCTACACTGTATCCCAGGCGACAGACAACGACGGCGCTGGCCAGTCGACTGTGGTGTCGCTACAGATCTCGCTGACCGACTCCAACGACAACCCGCCCGTGTTCACCACGCCGGTGTACAAGGCCTCCATCGATGAGGACGCTGTCAAGTTCGAGCCGGAACTACAGGTATGGGCCCAGAGCGTCTATTTCACTACTTTATACATTTATTCAGTTATGGGCCCAGAGCCTAAGTTTAATTTTACCTGTTTTTTTTTTTAACTTTTGTTTTAAATAACAATAACACTGAACATAGGTTTATGGACGCGACGCAGTAATAATGGCTGAAATGATGATGATGATGATGATGAAAGGTTTATTATACAGCATCATTTAATTCCAAACGAAGCTATGTTTGTACTATAGATACTAGAATGAGGGGGATGGGGGGCTTCATGAACGCAATAGAACCCAAAACGATGATTTTTAGATTTTCAGTTTGTCTGTACGTTTGTACACGCTAATCACGGAAACGGCTTAACCAATTTGAATGCGGATTTCACTAATGCGTTGCGGTTTGCTCCATTTAACATTTTATACACAAATTCTAAAAATCATTGTTTTAGATTCTATTACGTTCCTAAAGTCCCCCTGTAATAGTTTTTCTTATATATCTTCCATGTACAGACAGCGACCAGTTACGATGTTATTACATGTGTAGATGTTTAAAAAATAAATTTGCATCCATAAAAAGCTGGGCCGGGCCGCTAGTTTTAAATATACACTTGTTCTTACCAGGTGCAAGCGCGTGACATCGATGTGTCATCGGAAATACATTACTCGATCATCGAACCTGCGACTCACCCGTTCTGGATCGACCCGCTCAACGGCAGGATTTTAGTCCGCTCGGAGACTGGTGTCGTGGCGCCATCTAGTGACGATAACCGTATTGTACTCACTGTTTTGGTAAGTTGAATTATATTATTATTTATCAAAAATAACTGAGGTATCTCTTATTCGCATTTTAGATTTTCAACCGACATCAAAAAAAGTAGAAGATTCTTAATTAGATTTTTTTTAATGGATGACAATGAAGTGTTAACCCCGCTTGCGCTAACGATGTATGTATGGCTGGCACCAGTGAATGATGATAGGTGAGAATGAAAACGCAGATCAGTTAGCCCATCATGATGAATACACTAGGAATTCAGAACAATGGTTTCCAGGGGGGGACCAGGTGGAGGTCGACCTGACAGGGTATATTGCTAGCAGTGGGACTGCTAGACCGCGTTACTAACAATCCGCCTCCTCCCCTTTTCAATTCGGTTGTATATATGTATATAGACCAGTATGAAAGTAAAAAAATATACTTTCATACTGGTCTCATATATATACATATTCTTTATTGTTTCCTCCAAAAGATTACAATAATAAACTTATTATAAATATAAACAATTACAAGAAATAATCACAGTGAGAAAACAATGGACGACCTTATCGTTAAGAGCGATCTCTTACAGGCAACCTTTGGATGGAGAGGAGTAATTATAAATAATTAAAGAAAGTGTGCCAAATAATGACCGACTTCAAATGTGACAAAACCCAATTAATTTGATTTTAAAACTAAATTACTATACCGATTTTGATAAAATTAATACAGGACCAATCTGTAAGTATATCCTTTCAGATAAGAAGAAGAATTTTCCTAATCGGTTCATAACTGATGGCGCTATGAGGTTTTTTTTTTCCATTTAACAGTTTCCTCTTGTCGGTGCAACTAATTCATGCATTTTCCTCCAGCCAGTTCTATCCCAGGCCATATCCTTGACCTCCCTATACGACATGACACCTAGTGTTTCCTTTATCTGTCCCACGTAGTTATTCCTCGGTCTTCCTCTTCCTCTTTTGCTCTCTATCTTTCCTTCTACTATGCTCTTAAAAAAATCGTCATGTCGTATATGGTGGCGCAGCATTTTACCTCTTCTATTCTCTATTATTTTAATTAATGTTCTTTTCTCGTTCACTCTGAGCTAATAAATATAAAGAAGAAGAGTCTTTTGAAGTACCGCCAAGTATAAAAAAATTACATTTATCAATTTTATTTATTTAGTTCCTCGCTACGATCTAATTTCAGGCGACAGATGGAGTTCATAACGCAACTTGTAAAGTAGAGATTGCGGTGCGCGATGTGAACAATCACGCTCCAGTCTTCGACGTCGCCGAGTATGACGCTAATGTCGCGGAGGACGCGCCCATTGGTGAGTTCAATAGGTTATCAAAAGTCATATGAAGACTTTACTAACTGTTTTCCGCGGTTTTTTTTACGTGCAATAATACATAAAGTATTTCATATGTTAGGAAAATACCATATTCGTATATAGTATACCTAGCTTTTACCCATGACTTCGTTCGGGTGACCGGGATATGTTCACTATCGGGAATAAAAGTAGCACAATACCAAATTTCATAGGAATTGGTTAAGCCGTTAAGGCGCCAAGAGTTAACAAATGAACTGAAAATGAGTTTGTATTTTTTTTTTTGTAATAAATAAGGATTTAAGATTGAAAATTATTTATGAAAATGCCTGTAAATAAATGCAGATGTTAACGACGTAAATTGTTCGACGATTTTTAACCCATAGTGTACATAAAAGAAGCCTTATTTATATAGACAAGATAAGGTAAAAGAGTTAAATCCACAGGTCGCTGGTTCCAATCCGGTTTGAAGGACCAAAACTTTGTAGAGCTGGAACTGTAGGTTTCTTTTTGAGAAAACACAATTAGTATTACTAAATAAGGTTGATTTATTAAAAAAAAAAAATTACAAGAGACGTCCGTACGCGACGCGAAAACGGACGGAAGACAGCTACATAGTGTTAGTTACAAACTTCACGTCGAAGTTTCCAACAGTAAGTTTTTTTATGCAACTTAGAATGGCAAACAAGCTGATGATCCACCTGATGGAAATTAGTAACCGTCGCCTATAGACATGAGCAGTACCATGGACATAACAGTGTATACTGTTTCGCCCATGATACCCCTCCTGCGTTGCCATTCCTGAGGACACAGGTGTTATTCCTCTGTACCCTGTAAATTCACTGCCATATCCCACCCTTCAAACCGAAACACAGTCATGCAAACACAATTTATACATTCAGGTACTGAAGTAGCAGCGGTGCGGGCGACCGATATGGACAGCGGAATCAACTCTGAAATCAAGTACGCCATCCAGAGAGGAGCGCTCGACTCGTTTGCCATCGACAACGTCACCGGAGTTGTGACGGTGTCCTCGAAACTGGATTACGACAAACGGGATACTTTTAGAATACAAATCATTGCTACCGATATGGGTGAGTGACTTACGCAACATCTCTTGAATCTAATAGTTTGTCTGGTCCACTTTGTGCTCTGTTCTTAAATATTTTTCTATAATATTCTATTCTATTCTATTCTATTCTATTCTATTCTATTCTATCCTATTCTATCCTATTCTATCCTATTCTATCCTATTCTATCCTATTCTATCCTATTCTATCCTATTCTATCCTATTCTATCCTATTCTATCCTATTCTATCCTATTCTATCCTATTCTATCCTATTCTATCCTATTCTATCCTATTCTATCCTATTCTATCCTATTCTATCCTATTCTATCCTCTTCTATTCTATTCTATTCTATAAACACGATCCTCATCCTTCATCATCTGTCCATGCCAAGGCAGATGGTTACTTCTTGTTTTACCTTCATATGTGTTTTTTAGGTATGCCCAGTCTCACCGGCACTACTGAAATAAAAGTCCACATTTTGAACGTGAACGACAAGAAGCCATCCTTCACGCCCAGTATCCAGCGGGCGGAGGTGTCCGCCGATGCGGAGCAGGGCACCTTGGTGCACAACCTGACCGCAGTGGACCCGGATATCACTGATGACGAGCAACTGGTGTACGAGCTGGCTGCCGATAAGATTATAAAGGCTGTAGACAAAAATGGAAAGGAGGTATGTTTGACGGTGATGAAGAGTTTTATAGGAGACAAATCTAGGTGTGACAGGTATAACAACTTAGAATGGCAAACAAGCTGACGGTCCACCTGATGGAAAGTGGTAACCGTCGCCTATAGACATGAGCAGTACCATGGACATAACAGAGTATACTGTTTCGCCCATGATACCCTCTATGCGTTGCCATTCCTGAGGACTCAGGTGTTATTCCTCTAAATACCCAGTAAATTCACGCCATATCCCACCCTTCAAACCGAAACACAGCCATGCTAACACAACTGCTTCACGGTAGAAACGAATGGGACAGAGGTACCCAAGCAATCGACTTTTGTACAGTCTCCCTCTGGTAAAGAGGTGATTAAGAGAACTTAATAGTCGACGAATATAATAGCAGCATCCTCTCTCTTAAAACATCATGAAAGCCTAACTACGGTTGCCAACCTGCATGCCAAGTGTGGCAACTACTGGCAAATTCCTCTTTATGAAGGAGGCTTATATTCATCAGTGGAAAATTAATGACTGATATAATGATGTCATTCTAATTGATCTTTACAGGCTAGTTTAATCACTTCCTAAAGCTTGGACAAATCGTGATATATTTCTGGTATTTGTTAAAGATAATTCTAAATAGAATTACCTATTGTTCCTTGCAGGTGTCTGAAGAAGGTATCTTCGGCTCATGGTTCTCTGTTCACTTCAACGGCAGCGTCACAGTCTCCCAGCGTCTGGACCGCGAGAAGGCGGCAGTGTTGACGCTGCCTGTCAGGGTCACTGATGCTTCGGCTCCTACCCTGCAGCAGACTGATGGTAATTATGTCACTGGTGTATATTAACAGCATTAGTACTGGATGAATGGCATTGAGGGAACAACATAACCGTCTGCTGTCTCCTAATCTCCTAGTACTGGGGGGAAAGGGATTGTCAGTAATGGGGTCAAATAACCCCATTACTGGCAATATACCCTGGCAAGTCGACCTTCACGTGGTTCCTCCTGGAAACCATCGTGGCTGATTCTAGTTAAATTCGTCACGATGGGCTAACTGAACTGTTTTTATCCTCATCTATCATTTCTCACTGGTGCCCCGTCGGTGTATACCGATAGCGCAGGCGGGGTTACCATACCATTATCACCATTAAAAAAAAAATCTCCTAGTACTTTGTGGAATTGTGTTTTAATAGTGTAGTAAATTTTGATATTTGTCGCTTGCTCTACAAAAAAAAAAAAACTTTAATCATAACCAAATAATATTGCATTCACATGAAAGTAAACTCGATGGATTGCAAAAATAATCATTATAATCGGCTCAGAATTGGAGTTAAAACATCTCGTGACTTACACATGAAACTCTTCTTTTTAATAACATATTATAAATATAGTTTTAGCTGTAACTATCATAGTTTTAATTATTTTATTTATTTTATTTTATTTTTATTTGGGAAATAAACAGTACAATTCAGAGTTAAAATATTACATAGTATGGTACAATCTACCGTCACTACTACCAACATAATATGACGACCGATCCGGGCAACTCGCGGGCATACACCTGCTCGTTATAGGTAATAGACATTGGCGGGGGGGAAAGGGATTGCTAGTAATGGGGTCAAATAGCCCTATTACTAGCAATATACCCTGTCAGGTCGACCCCTGGAAACCATCGTGACTAATTCTAGTTTAATTCGTCAGGATGGGCCAACTGACCTACTTTCATCTTCATCTGTCATCCCTCACTGGTGCCCCGCCAGTGTATACCAATAGCGCAGACGAGGTTACCATACCATTATCACCCATTAAAAAAAAAAAGACATTGGCGCCCTCTACAGTAGTCTTACGCCGGCCGCCGATACGTTCGCATATGTACCTAGATCTAGAGCGCGCTCCCGCCATTGCTAACAACTGTGTATTACTTATTGCTCGTATTAAACTTGTTTTGACAATCGGGGTCTTTCAATTCACAACCCACGGCTCTATAAATATTAACCAATAAAGTTGCCACTATTAACTATTACATACAGAGCAAACGAGGTTCAAAATACATACGTACATTTAATAAATAAATCAAAAGAATATACTAAGATGCAAATACTATCTAATAATATATATATATATATACCTAATCCGCTTTTTATACATTGCAATCGAGTTATTAAATATGTCAACACTGGAAAATAATATACCAATTACAAGTAAAAATGCGAAATACAAATGTGTTTTCCATATATTTTAGTCTTCATAAAAGGTACACTAAACTATAATAATAGTGTCTAAACAGTACTTTATGAAGTCATCATCTCAGCCATTATCCGTCCACTGCTGGACATAAGCCTCCCCCAGACTGTCATAAAGAACGGTCCTGAACCACCTGCATCCACTGACTCAGTGCAGTGCAATGTATTTCATGTCTTCACTCCATCTAGTGGGGGGTCATCGTACACTGAATAACACCTAAGTCCTCAGGAATGGCAACGCATGGGGGGGGTATCATGAGCGAAACAGTATACTCTGTCATGTCCACGGTACTGCTCATGTCTATAGGTGACGGTTACCACTTTCCATCAGGTGGGCCGTCAGCTTGTTTGCCATTCTAAGTTGTAAAAAAAATATTTAAAATTTAATGCACAGGGAAATTCTATGTACATTTGGCGGACTTAACATCGGACGGTGTTCTCTACCAGTCAACCATTGGGCGAACAGACAAATAAGTTGGCGGTGCATTATTGAATAGAGGAAATATAAAGCAATACTTAATAAATTCATATAATATAAACATATTATCTCTGTAATAATCTCTATAAAAATCTGCTGATTTTCACCATCGTACAACCCGCCACAAACTAAAGTTTCATCCCAATCATCTGGACGAGTGGCGGTCTTCCACTGTGCGTTTTTCAATGCACTTTCTTCCACGCACAACCATTCTTTGGAATCAACTTCCAGCAGCAGTATTTCTGAACCGATACGACAACATAACCTTCAAGAAAAGAGCATATTCCTTCTTAAAAGGCCGGCAGCACACCTGCAATGCCGCTGGTGTTGTAGGTGATCATGGGCGGCGGTAATCACTTACCATCAGGTGAGCCGCATGCTCGTTTGCCCCCTGTGTTGTAAAAAAATCTTATCTAGGTTTAATCCTGTCTAGGTAGACCGAATAACTTTACATTCCTGTTTCTAGGTGAATTAATAATCACAATAGTGGACGTGAATCGTCACGCGCCTACTTTCACGCAGCCGGCGTACGTGGAGAGACTGCTGGAGGAGCAGCCAGTGGGTACTGTCCTCAACACGTACACGGCCATCGACAAGGAAACTCCCATAGCGGCCGTACTCATCCAGCCGCCCAGTCCGTACTTCCAGATCGATAATGTCACAGGTAATTGAAAATAGATTTTTTTTTTATTATACTTATTTATTTATTTATTCATTAGTACAAATATGTGTACATGGCGGACTTAATGCTAAAAGCATTCTCTCCCGGTCAACCATAGAGAAGTGTCAGAATACTCGAATGCGGTACTTACTAATTATTGATATACATACATACTAAAATTACATATATAAACGAATAAATATATATAAATAACAAATATACTTACACATATATGATATGTACTATATTATTATATACTATGTTCGTGAGAGGCAAACAAGCACAAGTCACGGCCCACCTGATGGTAAGCGGTTACCGTAGTCTATGAACGCTTGCAATACCAGAGGTATTACGTGCGCATTGCCGAACCTGATTAAACCTTTTTACCCCCTTTTAAAAAACCCTGTATGCTATTGTCTCTTGGGAAAAGTCGCAGCAGGGAACTCATTACATAACCTGAGTGTTCGTGAGAGAAAACATCTCTGGAACCGGGTTGTACACGACCATTTAGGCTATAGTGCTGATATATCCACATATTTGAACCTGTATCCTTTTACAGGAGTAGTGAAATCGACGCAACGCATCGACTACGAGAAAGTCCACAGTATAAACTTTACGCTAGTCGCCATCGACTCGGGAGTGCCGCAGTTGTCCACCACCGCGCTGGTGACCGTCGAGGTGATCAACGTCAACGACGAGGAGCCAGTATTCGCTGCTGAGGCGTACGACGCCACCGTCCCGGAGCACAGCGACGGTGGCACCAGGGTGGTCACCGTCACTGCTGTTGATAAAGATGAAGGTAAGGATAAAATCTATTATGATTTATTTGATTAGATATCAGCGGGTCTACCATGAAATGAAATTCCGAAATTTCGGACTCAATTTCGTGTTTTTGTTTATACCAAAATCGGATGAATAAATAGAATTTAACATTTCGTTCGTCATACATCCTATCATTTAAGTCCAAAGTAACAATATTTTAACATTTTTATTATTTCCAAACAGCATGTATTATGTAATTTTAACATCAAATTTGTGTTTCGTTCGGCTCCGAAATTTCGGAAAACACTTCATGGTAGGCCCTCAGTAACTTAAAATGTACAATTATATATTCACATTATTGTACGTATGCATATTTCTATATGTATTTAAAAAACGAACAGAGTTTCATGCCTCCAGTCAAACTGTTTATAATTACTCCTCTCCATTCAAAGGTCGTATAGGGAGGTCAAGGATATGGCCTGGGATAGAGCTGCCTGGAAGAAGATGCGTGAATTAGTCGCACCGACAAGAGGAAGCTCTTAAATGAAATGAGAGATCCAAAGGTTGCCTGAAAGAGATCGCTCTTAGCGATAAGGCCACCCATTGTTTTCTCAGTGTGATATTTTCTTGTTTTTATTTATAATAAGTTTACTATTCTAATCTTTTGGAGGAAACAATAGTATTTTAGCATTTGAGTTAAATGTGTGTGTGTAAAAAAAAATAACTTAAACTCCTTTTGTTTTAGGGGAATTCGGAGAGATCACATATAATCTATCCGGAGCTCTGTCGTCATTGTTTACCATCAACCCCGCCACGGGTGTTGTCACTGTAGCAGAGGGCGCCGTCATCGATCGCGAGAATACCTCCGACATCTATTTGCGGGCTATCGCAAGTGATAATGCGCCGGCGCAGGTTCAGAAATCCACTAGTGTACCAGTAAGTTGAAAACTTTTTAATATATATACATATATATTAGATAATAGAACTAACATAGAAGTAAATTCTTCCGCTAAAAAAGTAATCATTATAATCGGTTGTAAAATATCTAGAAGGTATCACGTAACACAACTTTCGGAAGGCACCCGATGAAACAATAATATGCAACTTTTGATGTAACCTGACTAAACTTTTTACCATGCTTTCAGGATAGACAGATACTCTTTATTATCCCCTCCAAAGGATTACAATACTAAACTTATTACAAACACCATAAAAAAAACTCAGAAAACAATGGGGGTCTTATAGTTAAAAGCGACAGATAGTTATAAGACAACAGATGGCGTCTTTCTGACAATGATTTTCCCAATATCATCGCTATTTCATAAATTGTTATAGATACTATGAATGATTTTCATCAATTTATATTCATTCGTTGTACTTTCATTTCAATTTTGAATCATTTTTTATTTAAAAAGACTTTTTACAAGCTTTTAAATGGTCATCTTTTATAATTCTTCTCTTGGGTTCGGAGTTCAGCTTCTACCTCTGGCTGGATATCTGTCAGCAGTAACAGTCCTCAGCAGTAATCTGTCCACTGCTGAACATAGGCACCTCTCCATTTGGCATTAGGGATTTGCCAGTGGTTGCCACACTTTGCAGTTATGCTGGCAGTCGCAGTTATCCTTTGGTGATATTTCATGTGGGACGCTGCTGCCCATTCCTCGGCCTCTAAGTTCTCTTACTCGCCTCTTACGACACACACGGAAAAAGAAGAGGTAGCTCATTCTACGCCGGGACCACACGGCGTAAACTTGTATAAGTACAATGAGCCAGTCTTATATCTTCTGTACTGTTCTATGTTTAGATCCACATAAAAGTTCTGGACATCAACGACAACTCCCCAATCTTCAGTCAGAAGGTGTACAAAAGCACAATAGCGGAGAACCTCCGTTTGGATCCACCAGCGGCGATACTGCAAGTACTGGCGGAGGATAAGGACGACGGCATAAATGGGAAGGTGGAATACAAGATCGTGGAGCAGAGTGAGCCAGGTGACGCATCCGTACTTGCCTATAAAGAGGAAAGAATTGTTTGTAATGGATAAACTCAAAATCTATTCAAAATATTTCAAAAATTCTGCCATCTATAGAAAGCTACATTATCAACAAATAACATAGACTGTAATATAATTTTTTAAAATTCTATCTACCCGTTTAAAGTTGGTCCGGATCGCTATTTTTTTTAATGGATGTTAATGGAATGGTAACCCCGCCTGCGCTAACGGTATACGCTGGCGGGGCACCAGTGGGAGGTGACAGGTGACGATGAAAATATAAACCAGTAAGACCATTTTGATGGAAATACACTTTAATACACTTGGAATTCAGCACGTTGGTTTCCAGCGTGATCACGTGGAGGTCATACTGATAGAGTCTATTGCTAGCAACAGGACTGCCGGTTCATATTACTAACAATCCCTTGAGATGATAGATGAGGATGAATGCGGACCAGTTGGCCCATCATGATGAATTCGACAAAAATTATTCACAATTGTATCCAGAGGTAACCGCATGGAAATCGTTTTGATATGATATTGCTAGCAATGGATCACTAATTGATGAAAAAGATAAATAAATTTGTAACTTCTCTTTATTAGATACTAAAGATAGGATATAAAACAAGTTGGAAGTAAGTACATAGACAAAAGAAAATAAAAAAAAAGTAAATGACAAACAAAAGTACTGCGAGAGCCTCATAAACTGTCATTTCCGTGATCCAGTGTGCTTTATGATCCATGACATAGGTCATGAAACGTAGACAATGAGCTTTTTAGATCATATTCCTAATAATCCCTTTCAAATCAAATAAGGATATCTTCCAGTCAACCTTGATGTAGTTTTAAAAAAAATCATCATCACAAATGTTTTCGCATTGCCAACCCTAATAATCCGGGGGAGGGAAAGGGATGGGGATTAGCTGCCCCCTTGCTAGCAATATACCTTAACAGGTCGACCTCCACGCGGTTCCCCCTGGAAATCATTTTGATTAATTCTTGTGAAATTCATCACGATGAGCTAACTGACCTGTTTTCATCCTCACCTATCATTTCTCACTGGTGCCCCGCCAGCGTATACCGATAGCGCAGGCGGGGTTACCATTTCATTTTCACCCATTAAAAAAAAATCCTAATAATCCTTCCAGGAACATTCACCGTGGACCCAACGAACGGTATAATATACCCAGCTAAGCCAGTCAGAGGTAACAGCACCTACCACCTGTCGGTGACCGCCACGGACGAAGCTGGTAACGGCATCCATTTCGACACAGCCAGAGTGGATATCACAGTGCTGAGTGTTAACAAACACAGCCCAGTGTTCGTGGAACCACCGCCCGAGCAGAGGCAGCTTGAAATACCTGAGGTAAACCACCGTGGTACATGAACTAGGCATGGGCGATATCAGTATCGCTCTAATATCTGATATATTAGATAACACTGGACTTTGATATTATATATTGGCTATTTAACATATTCTTAATTGGAAGATTATATAGATACTGTAGTATATTTAGTCCATACCTCTTCGTCCCTTAGACTCAGGTGGCATGCCTCCGTATCTTGGCCCACCATTCAAACCAAAAGACCAAAAGTCATGCTAGGCGGAACAATCAAAAGTGAGAAGTACCCATGCTGGCGTTTTTGTACAATCTCTCTTTTTTTCCTTTTTTTATCTCTCTCTCTTTGTCTTTCTCTCTCTCTCTCGTTCTCTCTTTCCAGATACAGCACTAGTTTCATTCTTTATCCTTATCTAGAGGGAGACTTTGTACAAAAGTCGTTTGCTTGGGCACCTCTGTCCCATTCGTGTTTCAACCGTGAAGTAGCTGTGTTTGCATGGCTGTGTTTCGGTTTGAAGGGTGGGATATGGCGTGAATTTATAGGGTACAGAGGAATAACACCTGAGTCCTCAAGAATGGCAACGCATGGGGGGTATCATGGGCGAAACAGTATACTCTGTTATGTCCATGGTACTGCTCATGTCTATAGGCGACGGTTACCACTTTCCATCAGGTGGGCCGTCAGCTTGTTTGCCATTCTAAGTTGTATAAAAAAAAACTATAGAATTATTTTATTTTTAGAATGCAGCGCAAGCCGACTATCTAATCACAACTATAAAAGCGACGGATGAGGATGACGGCGAGAACGGTCGCGTGTCGTACTACCTGAAGGTGGACAACCAGAACGTGGGGGAGACGCAGGAGTTCAGCCTCGACCCTGACTCCGGGGAGCTCAGAACTAAGACCTTCTTGGATAGGGAGCATAAGTCCGAATACCAAGTAAGTAATTCATTAAAAACAATATAATTTCCTTATGTTTTATGTCCAAGTACAACTATTATTTAAAAAAAAAAAAAATAATTATTGTACTGTAATTATTTCACTTATTAATCTATTATTCAGCTAAACTAACTCAACTGATCCCCTATAACACATTTGAGGTCATCGCGCTATGTAATGGGTGAAGAAGGAAAGGTCGGCCTACATTTGGCTGTACAGATTTTTTTTATGCAACTTAGAATGGCAAACAATCTGACGGCCCACCTGATGGAAAGTGGTAACCGTCGCCTATAGATATGAGCAGTATCATGGACATAACAGAGTACACTGTTTCGCCCATGATACCCCCCATGCGTTGCCATTCCTGACGACTCAGATGTTATTCCTCTGTACCCAGTAAATTCACGCCATATCCCACCCTTCAAACCGAAACACAGCCATGCAAACACAACTGCTTCACGGTTGGAACACGAATGGGACAGAGGTGCTCAAGCAAACGATTTTTGTACAAAGTCTCCCTCTGGTAGACCTAATCACCTTTCATCCACATTGGTTCTTCGACCAATTTTGAAAAGCTGAATATTAATCCCTCATTTATTTTATATCCTAATTATAATTGGCCATGTGGCCCCGGCATAGAATAGGCCACCCCTTCCTTTCCCGTGGGTGTCGTAAGAACCGACTAAGGGAGGAAGAGGGATTGGCAGCAACGTCCCTCTTAAAGCATCTCTAAAGTCTGACTGCGGTTACCAATCCGCCTGCCAAGCATGGCAACTACTGGCAAAACCCCCAAGGGGGAGATTTAAATTCAGTAGTGGACAGTTAAAGGCTGATGCAATGATGATAATTATAATAATATTGGTATTGCAGCTGGTGATAGCTGCGGTGGACAACGGCACTCCTGCGCAGTTCGAGAGCCTGCGCCTTCTATCAGTGGTGCTGGCTGACGATGACGACAACATCCCCCGGTTCCAGCATGCGCAGCACAACTTCAGCATCAGAGAGAACTTGCCGCCTGGCGTCATTATTGGTGAGGTTTTAACATATATCATGCTGTGTGGTCCTGCCATAGAATGGGCCACCGCTTCCTGTCCCGTGGGTGTCGTAAGAGGCGACTAAGGGATCTTGACATTCGAGGGATGGGCAGCAATAGCGTCTCTCTTCAAATATCATTAAAGCCTAGCTGCAGTTGCCAACTATCCTGCCAAGCGTGACAACTACTGGCAAAACCCCCCTTGTGAGTGAAATCTATGTTAAGTAATAGACAATTAATGATTTATATAATAAATAAAAAACATATTACTTTTAGTTACATTGTTTTATTTTATTTTATTTACGATTTATGTCTCTTAGGTACCGTAAAGGCAACTGATAAAGATTCAGGCGAGAATGGCAAAGTGTACTACCACGTATTGGAGGGTAACGAGGACGGTGCGTTCACACTAGACAGAACGCAAGGTATCATTCGGGCTAACATCAGCTTCGATAGGTAAGGGTAACTTATCAGGCTAAACATTTCCTTTTCAACTAAAAGTACAAATAATATATCTTGTCTTGCAAGCATTTATGGTTGTTTACTATATTACCAGAGGGAGTCTTTGTACAAAAGTCGTTTGCTTGGGTACCTCTGTCCCATTCGTGTTTCAACCGTGAAGCAGTTGTTTGCATGGCAGTGTTTTGGTTGGAAGGGTGGGATATGGCGTGAATTTACAGGGTACAGAGGTTTAACACCTGAGTCCTCAGGAATGGCAACACATGGGGGATATCATGGGCGAAACAGTATACTCTACTCAGATATTATAGTTAATTAAATTTATGAATCGCTATCGATAAAAGTTGACAAAAAAGTAAATTCATTATGTTCTCAATATGATGGGTGCTGAGAAAGGGGTAGCTGGTACTCACTGCATGACCCGGGACCTAGGGAGGCTAAGACTGCAAATCCGCCACAGCCATTACTAACAATCCCTTCTGTCTCCCTCTCTGAAACTACTAGTTGGATTTGAACAGTATTTTTGCATTTAAAAGCTTAATTCTTGGGTAAACTATTCAACATAACGATAGAACTACGGCCGAAGACACAGGATGCGGTTAGTCCAGTATATGCCACTATATGGCCTGGGGCCAAGACTTTTTTTTTATAAAACTTAGAATGGCAAACAAGTTAACGGTCCACCTGATGTAAAGTGGTAACCGTCGCCTATAGACATGAGCAGTACCATGGACATAACAGAGTATACTGTTTCGCCCATGATGCCCCCCATGCGTTGCCATTCCTGAGAACTCAGGTGTTATTCCTCTGTACCCAGTAAATTCACGCCATATCCCACCCTTCAAACCGAACTTCAAATCCGCCACTGACTATGGGAGACACAATATTTGTATGAATGAATGAGTATACTTTATTTGCATTATACAGTATAGGGAATAAGCAAGACAATTAATACAACGATACAGTTGTATAAGTACAGTAAGGAGTTCTTATCGCTGAGAGCAATTCATGCCCAATATTTATTTTCCATTATTTAGGGAGAAGAGATCCGATTACACGTTGACAATATACGCAAGCAACAACCCCCTCCTGCAGCAGAGTGTGGCGGTGTTCAACTCGCTGGAGAACACCACAGAAACCCAGGAGGGCAGCATCACCACCGTCGCTGTGAAGGTACTGGACGAGAACGACAACGAGCCCAGGTTCCAGCAGAAGGTTTACTATGCTGGTAAGTTTTTTTTTTTTACAACACAGGGGGCAAACGAGCATGCGGCTCACCTGATGGTAAGTGACTACCGCCGCCCATGGTCACCCACAACACCTACGGCATTGCAGGTGTGCTGCCGGCCTTTTAAAAAGGAATATGCTCTTTTCTTGAAGGTTATGTTGTCGTATCGGTTCGGAAATACTGCTGTTGTTGTTGACTTGGACGTAAGAATCTGGAATAAGTATAATGAGATCCCTGTTGAGGATTTCCCTAGACGCTATAGTATGGGGTTCTTCAAATAGGATATTTTAGGGTTTTTTCAGGGTCGGCGACGCGCACTTTACACTCCTAGTATTGCAGGCGTCCATAGGCTATGGTGACTGTTTACTATCAGACTGGCTGTATGCTTGTTTACCACCTTTGTAGTACGAAAAAATCATTGAAATCGATCTATGCGTCACGTCTATTTACCAGAGGGAGATTTTGTACAAAAGTCGATTGCTTGCGTATCTCTGTCCCATTCGTGTTTCAACCGTGAAGCAGCTGCGTTTGCATGGCTGTGTTTCGGTTTGAAGGGTGGGATATGGCGTGAATTTACTGCGTACAGAGGAATAACATCTGAGTCCTCAGGAATGGCAACGCATGGAAGGTATCATGGGCAAAACAATATACTCTGTTATGTCCATGGTCCTGCTCATGTGTATAGGCGACGGTTACCACTTTTCATCAGGTGGACCGTCAGCTTGTTTGCCATGCTAAGTTGTATAAAAAAAATCATTTTTTAACTGTCCACTGCTGAACATAAACCTCCCCACTAAGGGTGTTTTGCCAGTAATTGCCAAGCTTGGCAGGCAGGTTGGCAACCGCAGTAAACTGCTAGTAAAACAATGATATCAAAAAAATATTACTAATTTTACATCACTTTCAAACATTTATCACCAGGTGTAAAACATACGGCGCGCGTCAACGAACCCATAATATCTGTGATGGCGGAAGACCCTGATCTGGAGGAAAATGGTACACTGATATACATAGTGGCTGCCTCAAACTTATATAAATTCGGGGCATCAAAATCTAGCGGCAGTGTTGTGCCGTCACCTTTCAACATCAGCCAAGATGGTGAGTTACTTACTTATTTAAACTCATATATATATATATATATATATATATATATATATATATATATATATATATATATATATATATATATATATATATATATATATATATATATATATATATATATGAGTTTAAATGATAAAAACTATATAAAACCCACAGGTATCCTAATGACGGCCCACTATATGTCCGAGTATAACCAAGACAGATTCGTGTTGGACATCATAGCCCAGGAGCTCGCGTCGCCACACCGCCAGGCTAAAGCACAAGTTTACGTGAGTACCATCAAATTGTCTATAATCACTCCTCTCCATCCAAAGGTTGCCTGGAAGAGATCGCTTTTAGCTATAAGGTCGCCCATTGTTTTCTTATTGTGATTATTTCTTGTAATTGTTTATATTTATAATAAGTTTACTATTGTAATGTAATAGGAGGAAACAATAAAGAGTATCTATCTATCTATCTACCTCCTATCTTTTTCATAACTCAAGGGCAAGACCTGTGTGCAGCAGTGGACAATTAACGCCTGATGTGATAATGATGTGTAGGTCCTGGCATAGAATAGGCCACCCCTTCTTTCCCGTGGGTGTCGTAAGAGGCGGCTAAGCGAGGGCGAGGCGAGGTCCCTCTTAAAATATGTCTAAAAGCCTAACTGCGGTTTCCAGTCCACCTGCGAAGCGTGCTAGCTACTGGCAAAACCCTCAAGGGGAGGCTTATGTTCAGCAGTAAACGGTTAAAGGTTTATATGACGATAATTATGATGATGATGACATCTATTATATATTGTTGGAAACACTAAATTTAATATTATAATATGGCAATTCTAAAATTGCCCTCGCTCTCTTCTGTTACAACAAGTCTTCAATGTGCATGGGTGAGTGTAAAAATATAATTAAAATAAATATATTGTAAAATTAAAAGGTGGTTTTGCAATAAATATAGTAGTACAAATTCTAACAACTTTGTGATCCGGCTCGAAGGACCACAGAAAAGGCCTCGAGAAATAAGCAAATTTAAATATAAAAAATAGAAATTATATAATTTGGCCATCAGCATTACAATTACACATAAACAGTGGATTTCATTTATTACGAACTTGGTTATAGCGACCGTTTGCCTATAGCGACGTTAAATCTAAGCCCCTTGAAAAAGCATACGTGGCTATAGCGACTTTGGAAACGTCGAGTAAGTTACAAAGTGATATTCTGAGTAGCAACTGAGTTTAGTAAACTTTTGGATAAGTATAACCGCCTCGACGATTTGTTAAAAAAAAGGTGAAGATTTCAAAAAAAACGGTGAAAACAATGCTGATTTGTACGTGAAAAAACTATACACGTCTGTATCTCTCTCTTTACGTTTGCCTGTAACGACTTCCGGATATAACGACGAAAATAGAGTGGTCCCTTCATCGTCGTTATACCCGAAATCCACTGTATATAGTGTAGACGATGTATGATCCGTGGTATCAGGCAGTCGTCCCCAAAAATGTAAGAAGACAGCCAAAATTGCCACGAAAATCAGCCGACGGTTATTTAGTGCCCTCACCACAGTACCTAGCAGTGGAGCTGCTGTATTGTTAAACCACAAATGCTGAGAGGAAAGAAATTGTTAGTTATGAGGTCTTACTGACCCTTTGCCAGCAATACACCATCCTATCAGGCGACCTCCATGTGGTTTCCCCTAGAAACCGTCGTGATTAATTCTTGTAGAATTTGTCACGATGGACTAACTGATCTGCTTTCATTGTCACCTATCATCCCTCACTGGTGCCTCACCAGCGTATACCGATAGCGCAGGTGGGGTTACCATTCCATTATCATCCATTAAAAAAAACCAACGATCCGGACCAGCTTCAAACGGGTAGATAGAATTTTCGAAAATTATATTACAGTCTATGTTATTTGTTGATAATGTAGCTTATTTTTTTTTTACATACTCGTATACATGTATATTTTTGTATATGCATTTTTTTATCTCTTTTTACTGTATATGTCTGTTGTTATTTGTAAGTAAGTATTTTTTTTATTTTATTTTTATTTTTATCCAAAGCATAAAATATATTGCATAGGATACTACATTATAACATCAAAAAAATTATAAATTAAAATTACAATTACAGTTATTTACAATTAGTACAATTCTTTTTTTTTTTTTTTCTTTTTAATTATATTCAGTCGATTTCGTAAATTTATAAAATATAGTAAGTTGCCACGTTGGCAATAACAAATGTAAAGTTTTTTTTTTCTATTGATAATTAATGTAACTCTTTTAGTTGTTGGCAATAAATGTTTTGATTCTTTCTCTCTTTCTTTCTCTCTCTCTCTCTCTTTCTTTTTTTCCCCTCTTTGTTTCTTTCAATACATACAATAATGCAAATAAATTATCTATCTATCTAAATGTTTGTTGTTTCAGATATGGGTGATCGACCGGTCGTCTCTTATCCGCATGGTAGTGTCGCGCAGCTGTAACGCGGCGGCGGTAGTTGGTGACGGTAGTGATGGTGGTGGCAGCGTGGCGCGGCGACTGGAGGCGGCGGGCCGGGCGCTGCTGGTGGCGGGCCGCCGGCTGCCGCTCGTTCACGCCGACACGCGATACGACGACTGGTCAGTCACTCCACCTTTCGTCCTCACCTATCACCTCTCACTGGTACCCAGTCACCGTATACCGATAGAGCAGGCGGCGTTACCATTCCATTATCATTAATTAAAAAACCAAAATAATTGAAGTAAAGACAGGAAGACGATAAAGATATTAAAGTGTTATAGAAAAAAGAAGCTGCTAAATTTATTATATAAGTTTTTTTTATACTACTGACGTGGCAAGCAAACATACGGCCCACCTGATGGTAAGTGGTTACCGTAGCCTATGAACACTTGCAATACCAGAGGTATTACGCGTGCGTTGCCGACCCTGAAGAAACCTCTTTATCCCCATTTAGAAGAACCCTATGCTGTAGTCTCTTGGAAAACCTCGGCAGGGAGCTCATTCCATAACCTGAATGTTCGTGGGAGAAAACATCTCTGAAACTACGCTGTACGCGACCATTTAGGCTGTAGGGTATGAGAGTGAACTCCCTATCGATGGCGAGCCGTACGATGGTAGAAAGTGGCTGTGGGCATCATATTGACCAATTCCTCTGAGCACAATCCGTTTTACAAGCGGTAGAACATGCAGAGTGAGGCAAAATCTCTCCTAAGACTTAAAGGTTCGATACCGCTTGTAAGCCTGAGATCATCGACAATTCTCATAGCTCGTCGTTGCAAGGAAGCGAAGGGTTCAAGCTGGTATTTAGGTGCTTTCGCCCATAAGAGAGATAAGTTTTTAATAATTAAAGTATTTATGTAGCTAAGTTTCGTAACCGTTTGACGGGTTTCTAAAATAAATAAAACTTTATAAATAAAAATAGCTTATCCCTCTCCCACACTGTTTTCTATTTGTAACACAGATATTCACAAATGGGACAGAAGTACCCATGCAGAAAACTTTTTTACAAAATGTCCATTCGTTAATCATCAATTATGCCAGCCCACTACTGAATATACACGCTAGCCACACTTGGCGACAGCAGTTAGGCTTTGGTGATGTTTAAAGAGAAGCGCTGTTGCCCATCCTTCGACCATCAAGTTCCCTTAGTGCCTCTTACGACACTCATGGGTTAAAAAGGTTTAGCCCATTCTATGCCAGGACGTCAAGGCCGTTCATTATCGGATTAAATTTAATCTCCAGGTGTGAAATCCACCTGCACGCCGTGGATCCGACCTCGTACCAAGTATTGCCGGTGGAACAGGTTTTGGAGACTATCGACTCCAAATACGACGAGCTGAAGGACGTCTACCAGGAATACGGGGTCGAGACCCTAATCGCCGCTAGCGCCACCTCTAAAGGTAGCAATTTTTCTTTTATAAATTTACTAATTTGCTAGCAATTATAAATCATATATAGGACTTCATGATTCTATGTTATCGTATGTAATCTATAAGTATGTAGGTATATTTATATATGTATATTTATATTTGTACATATGTATTTTTATTACATATTTGTATATTTATGTAATATTTGTTTAATGTATTCATGTATGTATGTTTACATAATCACAATGTGCAGTAGTTCTCTATTGTATGTGTTGTAATTTTTTTCACCGCATAATAAAATTTCTGTTTTGCCAAAGGTTGACTGCGAGAGAATGCTATATAGTATTAAGTCCGCCTTTTGTACCAGACATTTTTTTTGTAATGTGGTCAATAAAGAATAAATAAATAAATAAATTCTATCTGGTGTAGGAAAAGACACTGAATAGTGTTATAGTTTTACTATATGTGCATATGCTGTGCTGTATAATATGCTATTATGTGTATAATTACATACTACTACTCACCAGAGGGAGACTTTGTGCAAAAGTCGCTTGCTTGGACACCTCTGTCCCATACGTGTTTCTACCGTGAAGCAGTTGTGCTTGCATGGCTGTGTTTCGGTTTGAAGGGTGGGATATGGCGTGAATTTACTGGGTACTGTTATATAGCCGTGGTTATGTACAACATACGAACATAAAAGTGCTGAACTGCATTTTCGAAACAGTCAGCGGTTAACAATAAGGTATGCGTCATATCATCCATTTCCAGCGATTTTTCGATATATTTTAATTCAGACCGGATTTGAACCTCAGACGAACAAGACGCTTTGTTAATTTTCATAATAAAGACTCGTGCTAATTAAAATAATTTTCTTTTTAAAAAGTCTCATCTGACCCACCCCGTAACAGTACAGAGGAATAACACCGGAGTCCTCTGGAATGGCAATGCATGGGGGTATCATGGGCGAAACAGTATACTCTGTTATGTCCATGGTACTGCTCATGTCTATAGGCGACGGTTACCACTTTCCATCAGGTGGGCCGTCAGCTTGATTGCCATTCTAATCTGTATAAAAAATAATTTACAAAATGCTGTTGTTACAATTATTTTATTTTTATACATTTAATTTTTAGCTCCGGACAGCTTCGACCCGGCTTTGGCTGCGTTGATAGCGCTTCTAATAGTGCTGTTCACTGGCATCGTCACCTTCATAGTGGTGTGCGCCTGTCTGAAACATTGGTACGTTTACAACTACTTACATATTTTTACAACCCTTACATCGAATACTGTTTTGCCCGCTTCTATGTAGTTCCCATATATCATCCCCATTGGAACCCTTCATGAATCCGGTCTTGTATTGTATTATATACTTAAACTAGCGACCCGCCCCGGCTTTCAGTGTTTCTCTACAATACTATACATGTGTTATACATATAAAGCTTCCTCTTGAATCACTATACGAGGTCTGTCCGGAAAGTTCGTATAAAAGTGTTCTGGAATGCGAGAAAGAGGAGTGGGGAGGCCAGGTAAGCGCAGGACCCCTTCCTTATGTCCCTAACAATGCTTCAGTTCTGGTCTGACCGCCGTGCGGTGCGAACTGGCTTGTCACGCCATCTGTGAAGTTACCTCTTAACGAAACCCCGTCGGCATGGAGCCCGCTTCCGTTGAAGAGCAGCGCGTCGTAATCAAGTTTCTCTCGAAACTCGGCAAGAATGGCCGTGAAATTTTTGCCGATCTAATTCGATAAGACATCCGGGGAACCACGAACAAAAAAATCAAGAAAATCCCGCTCAAATGTCAAGACAATGTTGATTGTTTTTTTCGATGTTCGGGGGATTGTCCATCAAGAATTCGTCCCTCCAGGCCAGACAGTTGATGGAAAATTCTACGTCGATGTGCTCAGATCAAAGCTCGTGTGGCACGAGTTCGTCCAGAATTGGCGCGAGAGGGGCGTTGGATTCTTCACCACGACAATGCCCCTGCCCACACCTCTCTTGTTGTCCGTGAGTTTTTGAGTAAAAATTCCATTACGGTGACCGAACACCCCCCCTAGTCGCCGGATTTGGCCCCGTGTGACTTCTTCTTGTTCCCAAAAACCAAATTGGTACTTCGGGGGCGGCATTTGGGGGACATAAATGAGATAAAAAAAGCTACGACGGGGCAGCTGAGAAACCTACAACCAGAGGACTTTCAAGGAGCCTTCTCACAGTGGAAACGGCGTTGGCACAAGTGCATTATGTCACAGGGGGAGTACTTTGAAGGGGATAAAATTGATTTACCTGAATAATTGTAAAATAAAATTTTTAAAAAACTTTTATACGTACTTTCCGGACAAACCTCGTATCTATTTAAAAAAAACGCTTCAAAATCCGTTGCGTAGTTTTAAAGAAGTAAACATACATAGGGACGGACAGAGAATAGAATAAAGAATAGAGAATAGAGAATAAAATGCTGGGCCACCTTATACGACATGATGATTTTTTAAGAGCATAGTAGAAGGAAAAATAGAGAGCAAAAGAGGAAGAGGAAGACCGAGGAATAACTACATGGGACAGATAAAGGAAACACTAGGTGTCATGTCGTATAGGGAGGTCAAGGATATGGCCTGGGATAGAGCTGGCTGGAGGAAGATGCATGAATTAGTTGCATCGACAAAAGGAAACTCTTAAATGAAAAGAGAGGAACGGACAGACAGCGACAACGATTTTGTTTTATACTATGTAGCGGGGTCTTATATTGTATTATATATTTAAATACCTTCATAAAGTTTCAATCAATTCAACTGATCGGTTATTTTATAGCATTTTATATGTGATTCTTTAAATTTATATAACTTTTTTTTTCTTGAAATTAACCGATTGAAATAAAACAAACACTAAATGTTAAGTCGAGCAAATCACAACGCATTAATGAAAGCCGCATTCAAATCGATTAAGCCGTTTTTGAGATTAGCGTACACAAATGTACAGACAAACAGACATAAATTCTAAAAATCATTGTTTGGTTTCTATTGCGTTCATAAAGCTCCCCTGTAATAGTTTTTCTTATATATCTTCCATGTACAGACAGCGATCCCTTAGGATTTTATTATATGTATTGATTTGACCTTACCACATATGTTAGGGTGATACCACCGCCGTCAATGCCATCCAGCAAGGGTGACAGCCTCGCCCGGCGGAGGATACTCGAGGAGTTGAGCACCACAGAGAATCCGCTGTGGTTGGAGACGAAGCTCCGCCCCTACGAGGAACAGGAGCTCACTATGAACGTATTCGGAGACCAGAACGAGCAGGGGAATGGTGATCAGCCACAGGTGCGTATTTTGGGTGTTTTTTTTTTTATGGATGATAATGGAATGGTATCCCCGCCCGCGCTATCGATATACACTCGCGGAACACCAGTGAGGGATGATAGGTGAGGATGAAGTAAGTCAGTTAGCCCATCGTGACGAATTCAACAAGAATTAGTCACGATGGTTTCCAGGGGGGACCACGGGAAGGTCCACCTGTTTTTGTTCATCACCAATTTTGTTATTAATCTCTGCTGCACATGAATCTCTCATGTATTATTTTTTACTAGGAAAAGTTTTTTTTTGATGGGTGAAAATGGTATGGTAACCCCGCCTGCGCGAACGGGATACGCTGGCGGAGCACTAGTGAAGGGTGATAGATGAGAATGAAAACAGGCCAGTTAGCTCATTATGATGAATTCATCAGGAATTGACCATGATAGTTTCTAGGGGGAACCGCGAAAAGGTCGACCTGGTTGGGTATATTACTAGCAATGAGATTCTCAGTCTTAGATTAATTTTGGATTAATTGTGCGTATGAACAATCATAATAAAAGGGTATCCCCATAGATCCATAAAGAATAGTCCTATAGCTCTTAAAACATCACCAAAACCCTAACTGCGGTTGCCAACTTGCAATTTATTGGTTTTGGATTTTTTTTATACAACTTAGAATGGCAAACAAGCTGAAGGTCCACCTGATGTAAAGTGGTAACCGTCGCCTATAGACATGAGCAGTACCATGGACATACCAGAGTATACTGTTTCGTCCATGATACCCCCCATGCGTTGCCATTCCTGAGAACTCAGGTGTTATTCCTCTGTACCCAGTAAATTCACGCCATATCCCAACCTTTCAAACCCCTTACTTGTGCTACTTGACACTGCTTCCTGTCAAATTTTATAATTCTAGGTCAACGGGAAGTACCCTATAGGTTTTGATTCCCTTTGCGAATGTCAAAATATGCGATATAACTAGAATATAAACGGCCGTATCTTTTGATTGCGTCGATTTAGAAGCTTGATTTTTTCACTGCTTTAAGAGATTGTAAACCTGAATATATGATATTAATTTCAACTTGATACCTGCACGCGTTCCTAAGAAAAATGGTCTTGACAGACAGACGGATGGATGAACGGACAGACAACGAAGTGATCCTATAAGGGTTCCATTTTTTCCTTTGGAGGTACAGAACCCTAAAAATCAATAGTATTTAATTTTATAATTTAATTTTTTGTAAAATCTTCTTTTATATCTTTGAAAGTAATTTGCTATTATTTCCCCAATAGGCTGACAACACGTACGCAACTATACAGGGCAGCCGGAATACGGAAAGGTTCGGCGACTACGCCACTCTCGGCGGCGACTCGCCCACGCCGCTAGAAGCGGCTTTAGGCTTCCAGGTATGTTTTATTATTATTTTTTTTAATTTTAAGCGCTTCCACCTTCTTCAGGTACATCAGCCTTATCATATCCTGAACTGCTTTGTCATATAAAGTTTTATCTCCTTTCCCTACTTAAGGTAAGAAAGAAATTATTGGGTATCAATAATTTACAAAAATGTTCAAAAAAGTCACAATTGGAGTTGGTTTTTTTATGGTACACAATTTTTAATTACCAAAGTCTAACTCCGTTTTCCAACCCGCCTGCCAAGTGGCCTCCCCATAAACTGCGGAGACATAAGGAACGGTCCTGAGCCACGTACATCCACTGACTCCCAGCAATGCATTTGATGTCGTCACTCCATCTAGTGGAGGATCATCCTGTACTGCCTTTGCCTGTACGGGGTTGTCACTCAAGAATCTTTCTTCCTACTTTCTTGCTACTTACATAATGTACAGTATTAATTAAGTCGCTGCTCGCTGACATTAACTGCATAAAAAAAATTAGTAAAATAAACAATTTCACAGGGCAGTACCTTCAAGCCACCGTCTCCGAACACGCCTGAGCCTCCACCGCGGCCATCGGATTTGGGATCACTATGATATAAAAGATGGATCCTCAATAAACAGATGTAAGACACGCCACCCTAATTAATGACGTATGTTAGTGACATACGGTCTAATATCGCATAAACGTGATTAGGCCGTTATGGTCTATGAAATACAGTGGGGTAAAAGAAATAGGAATGTCGCTCCGCCATTTTGTAACACCTTAGCTGTCAAAGTAAACAGTTTAAATAGAGAGAACATAGAAGGCGTTTTTTAAAAAAAAACCGACATTAATATTTCATACAAACTGTATTTATTACGTGACAGTACAGATACAGGATCACATACCTATTTTTTTTTAAATCCTTTCATCGTGCCTCTGTGGTTTAAGCTAATATAGACTTTATTATAATGTTCTTGAAGGAACATTTTGCAGTTAGTGTGTTATAAAAATTAATTTGTATTGTGTACAAAAATTGTACAAAATGTCAATATGTTGTACAATATTATGCTAGATACATTAAAATGTAGATAGGTAGGACTTATATATATAACATATAGATATAATCAAGTCCTTTTGATATACTTAACTGTTTTATACATTTCCCCGGACTTAAAAAAAGCTAAATGTCTATTTGAGTCTTTATTAATATTTATATATTTTTTGCACTCATTTGATATTTAGCCATGATGACTCTTATACTCAAGGGATTATTTTATAGAAATATTTGTTTTTTTTATAATTTAATATTGCTTAATATTATTATTTAGTAAATGCATGTTGACGACGTGTTACTAATATTTCGACATCGAAACACAAAGACTGCCTTAAATTTATTTCGTTACCAATATTATATTAAATTACATAACATGAGTAAATATTCATACAGAACGCAAACTGCGTACAAGCGGCTCGTTGTAGGCACATCCACAACTGTGTTAACGATCTTGGAAGTACAGCGGTTTAACATTTATTTCCGATGCGGATTTAATTTCAAAACGTATACATATCTCTTTATAATTGTCCGTACGTTTTCCTTGTGAAATATAAATAATATGAAGTTGTTTGATATGAGTTTATTTACTTAAAAATATATAAAATTTTGGCTGACAGTTGTCAATTATTCATGGGTATGTCCTATTTATCTACCTACCTATAAACACTGCTTAATTTAGAACTGAACGACGCTGTTTTAATATTTTAATATATATATGTATATAACATAGAGTAAAGCATGAATCTATATCGAGCCGCTTCTATGAATTTTGGATTCTGTAAGGATATTTACTCTTGTTGAGGTAACACGTCAGCAACGTTCATTATAAGTCATTGAAAGAGTTTTGTAATGGAAGCCATTTTTTTTTAAATAACTTGTGGAGGACGGTAAATTATTTTAAACAATTTATTAATTAGGTTTCTTTTTTGTTTTAAAATATTTATGTAGTATTTATAAAAGAAAATTACAGAGATTAATTTAATGTAATTTTATTAAAATTTCAAGAAACTCATTGCATTTGACTGCGATATCTCCGTAGGTCTTTTATGCATTTTGTTTATTTTAAACATCTCGGAATCAGCGTCGTCACTATCTTAAATTAAGGACGTAAATAGAGAATAGATAGAGAGAGAGAGGACATAAAATAATATCCAACTACGATTGAGGACACAAGAGAATCTCTGTAAATAAGGATTTATTTCTTAATCACTGTAACGCTTAACACTTGTATGTTTGTGTCATATGCGTTGTTTTATATTTAAGCCGCATCTACGTCTATATATGCAATAATAACTTACTGGTACACTAGTGGATTTCAAAACCTGCGCCGGCGTATTATCACTTGCGATAGCCTGCAAATAGATGTCGGAGTTTGTTTGCCATTCTAAGTTGCATAAAAAAATCATCCATAAAGTAGTTTAAAAAGTATCAAATTAAAATATTAAATTATGAGATAGATACAGTAGGTTAGTTCTGCGTAAACTCTCGTAACAATAGACGTAGGTGCGGTTAATGTCGATCTTAGCCAATGCTCTTTTAAATGGCGTTAAACGTATATTAAGTTTTTAATTAACACCACTGTGTAATAATTTTTCTATTGCCATATTTGTAAAATTCGTTATTTGTACAAAAAATAAATGGATCTGTCAATTAAGATTATATTTAGGAGAGACTAATATTGATGATGATGATTGATGATGAAATATTGACTATGAAACGAGCACACGCCGATGTATAAGACTTGTGTTCTGAATTGAGAATTATTAATCTTTGTTACATTCATTCAAACATTCCAAACTTAGTTAATAACTGCGTCTAAAAATCCCTTTTTTTACGTCTTTTTTTGTATGAATTTGAAATTAAATTTATCTGTCCACTGCTGGGCATAGGCCTCCCCCATAGACTGCCATAAAGAACGGTCCTGAGCCACCTGCATCCACTGACTGCCTACAATACATTTGAAGTGGCTCCATCTAGTGGGATCGTTCAACACTGCATGTGCCTATACGAGGTTGCCACACAAATACCTTTCTTCCTTATCGGTTACCGGTTCTTCGAGCTATGTAACTAGTCTATTGCCATCTCAGCTTGCTTAACCTTCGGGCTATGTCAACCATTTTGGTACTTTAACGGATATTTTACCAGAAGGAGACTTTGTACAAAAGTCGATTTCTTGGGTACCTCTGTCCCATTCGTGTTTCAACCGTGAAGCAGCTGTGTTTGCATGGCTGTGTTTCGGTTTGAAGGGTGGGATATGGAGTGAATTTACTGGGTACAGAGGAATAACACCTGAGTCCTCAGGAATAGCAACGCATGGGGGGTATCATGGGTGAACCAGTATACTCTGTTATGTCCATGGTACTGCTCATGTGTGTAGGCGACGGTTACCACTATCCATCAGGTGCACCGTCAGCTTGTTTGCCATTCTAAGTAGTATAAAAAAAATCCACTCAGATTCTATCACGCAAAGAAACTCCAAGCATAGCTCTCTCCATAGCTCGCTGAGTAACCTTAAGCTTGCGGACAGTCTTGTAGAAAATTAAATTAATTATTACTCACTAATTATAAATACAGAGGTACTTATAAACACCAGATACAGATGGACAGACAGACAGACTTATTGTCGTATTTTTTTCTAATTGTCATATCTTTTTTATACATTTCAAAATAAAATATTATTATTGGTATTTAATTTACCCTCCAAAAAAATAGGGGAAATTCTCGATTCAGATACCATATTAAAGATACTCATTGTTTCAAGAAAATTTAATTTTTTTTTTTAATAAAATTATTTTGTGACAAAAGCATAGACAAACTATTGTAACTAATATTACTACGTAGTAAAGTGAATAGTCAATTGTTAGTGTAAATTTAATTGTACATATTTGCCTCTATTTTTATACCTAAAAGTATTATAAATAAAGAGATTTATCTAAATAATAAATACATTTTGTAAATAATATGTTTGTTTTATTAAAAACAGATGATTTGTCTGTTCCACACAGCCTTATGGTCCCAGTATAGAAAGCCACCCCTTCAATTCCCGTTTTTTTTTTAATGGGTGATAGTGGAATGGCAACCCCACCCGCGCTATCGGTATATACCGGCGGGGCACCAGTGAGGGATGATAGATGAAGATGTAGCAGGTCAGTTAGCCCATCGTGACGAATTCAACAAGAATTGTTCACGATGGTTTCCAGGGCGAACCACGTGGAGGTCGACCTGATAGGGTGTATTGTTAGCAATGGGTTCTAATGAAAAGGATTGTTAGTAAAGGGGTCTAATGACCCCTTTACTAACAATCCATTTCCCCCCTTCCATTCCCGTTAGTTCTGTAAAAAGCGACTAAGGGAACTAAACGATCGAAGGATGGACAGCAGCGTCTTAAAATATCACCAAATGCTAACTGTTGTTGCAAACTCACATGCCAAGCGTGGCAACTAAGGGCTAAACCTCCTTTATGGGGAAGGTCTATGTTCAACAACAGTTTTGCCAGTAGTTGCCACGCTTGGCAAAACCAATGTAGTAGCGGCAAAAATAAAAAACAATATATTTTTATCTCCTTGTAATTATATAATTCGTTACATTCGTTACAAAATGTTTCGTAATAAATATTATAACAATAACAAATTTATTCTAAAGCTAGGTATCCATTTGAGTGCAGCTCATTAATCAGGCAAATTAGAACTTTCTATAGAGACGTTCTCGCTACGGCGTGCATAAGATAGAACGAGACAGCAACATCCGGTAGCCTTAATCATGTGCGCGGTAAAGCGTATCTACTAATATCGTCATAGTGGTAGAATACTGACGGATCTGACAAATATTACATATAAAGATCCGTCAGTATTCTACGACTATGACGATATATTAATTTACTATTTGTTTGCGCTATTTAGAAAGCCTGAGAGGAATTGATTGCATTAAAATGTGGCGTCAAAATGTGGATTCCACCTTTTTTATAATAGAGGGCGCAAACGAGCATACGGCTGACCTGATGGTAAGTGATTACTGCCGCCCTATAGGACGTGCAACATCTAACAAATTATATTTATTTTAAATTATTACAAATTCACTTCTATCTCTAATGGATACCGTGATTATTAAATAAACATCGATAAGCTCCAACAAATTGTACTTTTGGCTCACTTTTCTTACTTCTCTAATTTCTCTTGCACCATCCCTCCAAACCGACTTGGTTTGGTTAAAGATTTTTTTTACATTCCACTTAATTTATTCCAAATTAATTCAAATCTTATTTAATCATGCATAAAAAATATTTATAGATGCAATATAATAAATACAGAAATGTACCACATAGTTTTAATTTTTCACAAATCTTCTCTATATATATATATATATACACCAACTTTTTAAAAAATACACTCATGTTGGAAAGAAATTATATCTTGTGGAATGCAACCACACACTATCACAGTGGACATTTCTTAATTAGAAATTAATGAAGTAACTTGAAAACATTGCGATTTATTACACTTGGTAAATAGTAGTATAATTAATATACTAATAATTGTTATGAAAAATATATTACATTTTAACCTCCAAATATGTAGCGACAAACCTATTTACTAGTTGTAAAATATACCGAATACTGATTTATATACATAATTTCAGCATATAATTAGCTATTTATATACATACATATATGTATATTCTAACAATAAATATAAATTTAAAAACTGTCTACATTTTGTATGCAGTTTTGCTGTTTAATGAATTGGTCTCTAAGATAGGTATGTAATTTTAAACTGAAATCAGAAAATAGTAGAATTATAAGTTAAGAACCTCTAGGTAATTTATATCATCCTCAGGCTTATTGCACGTTCTGTTAAAACTGATCTTTAAGAGATATAATTTAAGATTGTAATTCACAAAAAAAACCTGCTAAAATTGTAAAAAAAAAACGGTAATTTTCATTTAAAAACTACTTCACCGATTTTGATAAAATTTTTCTAAATCAATCTGTAAGTATTTTTTTTTAGATGATAAAAATTACAAATTTATTTATAACTGAGAGAATTATGAGGTAACAAACATAAAAAAGAAACACCAAATTGCAAATTTCCTCTTTTCCAAAAGTCGTTTGATAAATGAGACTGATCATCAGTTTTTGTGACTTGGGAATTCTTTTAATCTTGCATTATCAGTTTTCGCTGTGTGCAATATTGCATGTATTTCTATCATTCAAAAACACCTATACACATATTTACATAATCATAAATTTCATAAAACCAATAATTTTTACAATTCAACATTGACTAATTCAGGCGCAATCGACAATTCCATAAATAAATATCAAATATTTTTACATAATTTTTAAATTAAATTTTTCTTTATGCACTAATTACATAACTTAGATACTAAAAAAAATACTGGCCATAAGAATTTAGATTTTTTTATGCAACTTAGAATGGCAAACAAGCTGACGGCCTCCTGATGGAAAATGGTATAGACATGAGCAGTACTATGGACATAACAGAGTATACTGTTTCGCCCATGATACCCCTCATGCGTTGCCATTCTTGAGAACTAAGATGCTATGCCTCTGTACCCGGTACTATGCAAGTACCTAAAAAAACTAATAGTACAAAAGTTATATATATATTTATAAGTCTAGTAACGAAAAGTATAGGCCAATAAATTTAATAAAAACCTAAATAAATCATAAAGGGTTTATATTTTATAAAAATGTCTCATTTTATTTTATTTGAAACTTGAGACTCGATATATATGGCACAAAGTTTAACTGAATATCTATTATTTTATATTATAAGGACAAGGCTGGTACAATATGCAAAATAATTGCTGTAAATAGCAGCTGATTTCTCTGAAACGCAATTAAATTGTTATTCACTACTACTCAAATAATTTAATCTGCTTGGACCCTAAAGAGTTCTCGTACGTGTCACTTTATTTTCATTTAAATTAGGCACATAATTTCATTGTACGTCCTGAATTTTTATTTCTATAGCAATCTAATGTTTCGTGCAATTTAATTTTCCAATTAATTGATATTTCAATGCATAATTACGTTTCTGTTTTGCCAAAGGTTGACTGGAAGAGAAAGCTATATAGTATTAAGTCCGCCTTTTGTATCAAACATTCTTTTGTAATATCGTCATTGTCGTAGAATACTGACGGATCTTTATATGTAATCTTTGTCAGATCCGTCAGTATTCTACGACTATGACGATATGGTCAATAAAGAATAACTAATTAAATTATTTATTTATTTGCCATGATACTCACAAAACCATATCGCATAGGTAGACGTAATAAATAAGTTCCAAATAACACAAAAACACACCTCAACAATAGTTTAAATCTCAAAAAAAATTTGCCAATATTTTATCCAATAAAAAAATTGTGACTAAATGTAACTAGAAGGAACTTTTTACATCTTTTCAGTACCTATTAATTTTAAGTATTACATTAAAAATTTGATATTATGTAGGAATTTATAATCCAATAAATATTAATTCGTTAATAAGCTATTTAAATATAATTTCAGATCACGAGATATCAAATAAAAAAAAAACTGATTTCCCAAAGTGAAACCTTTTGGGTATTTATATAATTGAACAAATAAATACTGCGATAAAGATGACTTTAAAACGGATTCACTTGACAGACAGAATATGCACGGTCAGTTTAAAAAAAAAATCTAAAATTATAAAACAAAAAAAAAAACAAGAACTTGATGTTAAAATATGCCGCATAATATTAAATTTATTTTCCACAAAAAACCGACTTCAATCGAGAGAAGACCAGTTATATTCATTTAAAAACTAAACTACTAAAACAATTTTTGTAAAATCTCTAAGGACCCAATTTGAAAAAATATACTTTTAGATGAAAAAAAAAAAAGATTTACAAACCTATTTTCCAAATCGATTTATAAATAATGGAGTAATCAATTAACATATATAAATAAAAATCCAACGTATGTTTATAACAAGTATGTTTCCATCGTTTTTTGCAGTCTACATAAAACGAACGATCAAAAAGTATCCTCATTTCGATATAGACGTGTCTCATCGTCGCACGAAATTGGGATCTGAGGGCCTACCATGAAATATTTTCCGAAATTTCGGGCACGAACGAAACAGAAATTTGATGTTAAAATTACATAATACATGCCGTTTAAAATTATTAAAAATGTTAAAATATCGTTCTTCTGGACTATTAGGATAGGATTTATGATAAATGAAATGTTAAGCTCCATTTACTGGAACGATTTCGGTACGAACTAAAACACGAAGTTGAGCCCGAAAATACGGAATTTCATTTCATTGTAGACTACCTGAAATTACAGATTAATATCATGGCAGCTCCATAGATTACCTTCGAACTTATTGTATAATTAAAAAAAAACAAACCACTAACAAAATAGAAGTATCAATACAAAATATTGCAATTACAGTAAAGAAATCGCGTAAGCGCCTAATATTAAAATCATAAACTGAATTTTAATACTCCGATTTCTGGATGCATTGTGTATTATTTTTTTGCGCAAATTCGGAACGCGTCGATCGCCTCCTTGGCACTCTTGTTCACTTGCCGCCTGATATGGTTCAGTTTTCGGTGGGCGTGAGTGAGGAGGTCCCGATACGACCTCCTGGAATGCTGCAGGTCGTCTCTGAATCTGTGCAGCTCGTCGGCAGCGTGGCGCCGCCAGCGCTGCACTCGGGGTGATTTCTGAAAATTATTTTTTTATCATACATTTTTTTATACAACTTAGAATGGCAAACAAGCTGTCGGCCCACCTGATGGAAAGTGGTAACCGTCGCCTATAGACATGAGCAGTACCATGGACATAACAGAGTATATTGTTTCGCCCATGATACCCCCATGCGTTGTCTTTCCTGAGGACTCAGGTGTTATTCCTCTGTACCCAGTAAATTAACGCCATATCCCACCCTTCAAACCGAAACACAGCCATGCAAACACAACTACTTCACGGTTGAAACATGAATGGGACATCTCTGTCACCCAAGAAAAAGGTAAAAGTCACCCTTAGATATGAACAGTATTATGGCCATCAGTGAAAATACTCTAATACCTATAGTATAGTATACCTGAGGACTTTTTTATATCATAAAGGTGATAAACAAACATACAGCTTGTCTAATGATAAACGGTCACTATAACCTATGGTTGGTACAGTGATGGACTCACGTATGTGTTTTGCACGTTCGTCCATCAATGCCTCAGTTGCTGACCGCTGCAGTAATGTACTATAATACATAGTATGAATATTTACCTCACAAGGTACGCCACAATTACTGATGGCTTTGTCGCATTTCTTGATGAACTCTTCGCTCTAAAATAAATACAATAATTATTATTATTAATTATTTCAGCCGTTAACTGTCCATTGCTGGACATAAGCCTTCCCCATAAGAGGCGTTTTGCCAGTAATTGCCACGCTTGGCAGGCGGGCTGCCAACCACAGTTAGGCTTTTAGAGATGTTTAAAGAGGGACGCTGCTGCCCATCCCTCGCCCTCCCTTAGTCGACTCTTACGACGCCCACTGGAAAGGAAGGGGTGGCCTATTCTATGCTGGGACCACACGGCGAAAAATAAATATAATAGCTTAGATTATATACTCATAGATAGAGCGTCGAGTCTCAAAAACGGATCAACTTTTTGTCAGCTAATTATCAAATATACCCAACCAGTAAAACTATCAAATATAGATGGGCTAACTGGCCTGTTTTCATTCTCATCTATCGTCCTTCACTGGTGCCCCGCAAGCGTACATCATTAGAGCAGGCGGGGTTACCATTCCATTATCATTCACTAAAGAAAAAAATGCAATACCTTGTTGAGGTGCATACGGAAGACGATCATGTGACCCAGCAGGAACTTGTGATGATTCTCGGCGCTGAAGTGAGCCGCTCTGCGCGCGTTGTACTCTATATTGTTGAGCTTGTCCTTCAGCTGGTTGCGGCACGAATCGGGCTGAAACGTCATGATCATCGTGTGAACAAAAAACAAATATAATGCAAACAGTTACCAGAGGGAGACTTTGTAGTATTGCAGTATAAAAAAAGACAAGCGGCTGAGCGTAAAACCAAAAGCCGAATCCTTGGTTAATATAAATAAAATCACATTACGTGTTTCTACCGTGAAAAGTTGTATTTGCATGGTTGTGCAGGAAGATGATGATTTAAATAGCATACAGAGGAATAACACGAGTCTCAGGAACGAAGAAGGGGGGTATCATGGGCGAAACACTTTTATATCCATGGTACTGTCGATTGCTAGGCGACGGTCTCTCATTCTTTTCATCAGTGAAGTCAGTTGTGTTTACATTGGCTGTGTCAATCATTATAATGATTGGGTCGTAGGTAGACATATGGTCTTAGTTCGCGTACACTTAAAATATGTATCATATGTTTATATCACTTAAAACGTGTAGTCCACACGAGCGGACATTTTAACTGTCATAAGCATGCTCCCGCTGCGTGGCCGCACTGATCCGATGAGATCATCTGTCACCGTATCATGGACGAAACAGTAAAACATCAGGTGGGCCGTCAGTTTGTTTGCCATTCTAAGTTGTATATAAAAAAAAAGTTGTAAAAGATACGCCTATAGATACACAAATGTGACAATGAGTTTGTTTGCCACATTTTAACTCTTTAACTGATTAAAAAAATGCAATTTAACATACACGTACCATCCAAAATGGAGAACGGTATAGGCTATTTTTCAACCGACTTAAAAAAAGAAGGAGTCTTTCAATTCGGTTGTATTTCTCTTGTTTGGTTATTTGTTACTTTGTTTACGTTTGTTACTTATAACTCTGTGAATTCTAAACCGATTTGGAAATTTCTCTTTTTATCTAAAAGGATATTATTATCTTATCAATCCTTAACTGTTCACTGTTGAAAGTAATCCTCCTTCTAGGGGAGTTTTTGGGGGATTTCGTGGCCAATAGTTGCCGCACTTGACGGGCGGGTTGGCAACCGCAGTTAGGCTTTGGAGATATTTTAAGAGGGATCCTCGTCTTCCCTTAATCGTCTCTTACGACAACCATGGGAAAGGATGGGGTGGCCTATTTTTTGTCAGAACTACACGGGATAAGGATATATTTACATACTAATCCCATAGAAATTTTATCAAAATCTGTTTAATAGACTAATTTTTAGATAAAAAAAAACTAGAGGGAGACTTTGTACAAAAGTCGATTGCTTGGGTACCTCTGTCTCATTCGTGTTTCAACCGTGAAGAGAAGAGATTGCCCTAGCGATAAGACCGCCTTTTGTACCTTTATGTGTATATTTCAATTTGTTTTTATGTTACTATATTTCACTTGAATTCTTCACTTGTCAATGTATATATTTTTATTTAATAGTGCAATAAAGAGTTAAATAAAATAAATAAGTAAAATTGATATTTCACAAAAGCTCCAAGGCAATACGAGGCGCGTAACCTACGCGAAAAAAAAAAACGCCAAGGTACTGAAAATAACTGTTTGTATAGATAATTCGTAACGGTAAACACAACGACGTGGGCGAAATTAAAATCTTTTTGAGGTCGCCGATGAAAATCACTGCAGCCGATGGCACGGTGACAGATGATCTCATCGGATTAGTGTGGCCACGCAACGGGAGCATGCTTATGAGAGTTAAAATGTCCGCTCGTGTGGACTACACGTTTTAAGTGATATAAACATATGATACATATTTTAAGTGTACGCGAACTAAAACCATATGTCTACCTACGACCCAATCATTATAATGTTCAACATTCCTATTTGTATTCTTTTTTTTTTATACAACTTAGAATGGCAAACAAGCTGACGGTCCGTCTGATGGAAAGTGGTAACCGTCGCCTATAGACATGAGCAGTACCATGGATATAACAGAGTATACTGTTTCGCCCATGATACCCCCCACGCGTTGCCATTCCTGAGGACTCAGGTGTTATTCCTTTGTACCCATAAATTTACGCCATATCCCATCCTTCAAACCGAAACACAGCTATGCAAACACAACTGCTTCACGGTTGAAACACGAATGGGACAGAGGTACCCAAGCAATCGACTTATGAAAGTCGATTAAATTTTTGGTATATATATTATATGAAATAATTAAAAATATAAATGGTGTGTGTTAAACTCACCAAACATCCTATCCAAAACCGTTGACAGTTTATGGTTTTTTTTTAATAGATGATAATGGAATGATGACCCCGCCTGTGCTATCGGTATACACTGGCGGGCACCAGTTAGAGATGATTGGTGAAGATGAATAGGCAGGTCAGTTAGCCCATCATGATGAATTCAACGATCAATTAGTTACGATGGTTTCCAGGGGGAACCGCGTGGAGGTCGACCTGATAGGGTATATTGATAGCAATGAGGACTAACCTCCCCATTACCAACAATCCCTTCCCCCCGACAGTTTATGGTTACCATATTCAACTTATTTTAAATTATACAGTAAATGTATCATTTAAACAGGTTCACTCGAAAGTGAAATTTGTACTCGAAAAATAAAATTTCTACAAAAAATGGAGTGAAATGTCAATGATCATCTATCTATCTGACTCATTTATTCCTTTACTTTTCCTTTGACCATTATCAACTCATAATCTATAGAATTTAATTAAAAAAAAACATCTGTTATCGGTCATAATATCCTATTATAAAATGGTGTCAATTTTTTTTTTATATTTGGTTTTTCTTTTTAAATAAATGAATAAAAAAGATATATTTTAAAGCATAACCTAGAATCCAGTCAAGAATCAATATTAAAAAAATCAGGAATGGCAACGCATGGGGGGTATCGTGGGCGAAACAGTATACTCTGTTATGTCCACGGTACTGCTCATGTCTATAGGCGACGGTTACCACTTTCCATCAGGTGGGCCGTCAGCTTGTCTGCCATTCTAAGTTGTATAAAAAAAAACGTAATTTTGTAAATGGAAGATTATATAGATAAAGTGTCCCCATAGAAATGCTTCGAGAAAAGCGGCTCAACGTTTTCATACAATTTTGCGTGATAAACAGTTACGAGTGATTCCTTTATAACTTCTATATTTATTTTGTCTTATAATTTCTGTATCTTTTTAATGCGTAAATACTCAATTTATTTATTAAATAATGTGTCAAAACACATTTTATGCGCAAGTATATAAGACACTGATAAAAGAAGACGAGTCAGCTTGACATTTAGCTGACAAAGTGTTGACCCGTTTTTGAGACTCGATGCTCTATCTGTATATTCTAAGGAAATCTCATTTACACGAAGTAATAAAGTTTTTTTTTTGATGGGTGAAAATGGTATGGTAACCACGCCTGCGCTAACGGGATACGCTGGCGGGGCACCAGTGATGGGTGATAGATGAGAATGAAAACAGGCCAGTTAGCTCATCATGATGAATTCATCAGGAATTAATCATGATAGTTTCCAGGGGGAACCGCGAGGAGGTCGACCTAGTTGGATATATTACTAGCAATGAGATTCTCAGTCTCCATAACTAACAATCCCTTTCCCCCGAAGTAATAAGGTTCAAATTTCACCGCAACTAAGCTATTTACTTATTAACCTATTGAAAGATTTTAATACAGTTATATATAAATCTTTTAATAGGTTTGTAAAATTTCATTGTCAACAATTTACGAGCGGTCATTCGCTAGTTTTATGGCCGTACATTTGTAAATAACCTCATTGTCAAGGTTTATTTCGTGGCCCGATGATTGACGCGCTCGGATTATAATATTACATCTAATTTGTATGTGTTTATATTAATAAATAATACATCTACGTACGTAAGTTTATTACGTACATATTTTATACCGACTTGAAAAAGGGGTCGTTTTACCAGAGGGAGACTTTGTACAAAAGTCGATTGCTTGGGTACCTCTGTCCAATTCGTGTTTCAACCGTGAAGCAGCTGTGTTTGCATGGCTGTGTTTCGGTTTGAAGGGTGGGATATGGCGTGAATTTACTGGGTACAGAGGAATAACATCTGAGTCCTCGGGAATGGCAACGCATGGGGGGTATTATAGGCGGAACAGTGTACTCTGTTATGTCCATGGTACTTGCTCATGTCTATAGGTGACGGTTACCACTTTCCGTCAGGTGGGCCGTTAGCTTGTTTGCCATTCTAAGTTGTATAAAAAAAATGTTTGTTTGCCATCTTTGTGGTATATACATATAAGTAGGCTATATTACAGATATTGCATTCTTAGCATGATTCACTGAATAAACGACTGATAAAATGATCGCACACGATGATTCGGTATAAAATCGTCTCTGGTATGTGCTGAGACAACTGAACTAACAAACACACGATTACGTTTTAAATACCTTTCTATATTAACACTTTATGTTGCTAGGCACGAACTATTAAAACCAATTTTTTTTTTTACTTTTTTAAAAAAAAAACTTTTTGTTTATTTACACTCATGAAATTACTATGTATGTGGTTTATAACCATACATTTTTACGCTTAGTTTATAATATTTCGTTGGGATCTTATCAATATTTCTTCCAGATAGCGTTCATTTTTTTTTTTAATGGGTGAAGATTAAATGGTAACCCCGCCTGCGCTATCGGTCTACGCTGGCGGGGCACCAGTGACGGATGATAGGTGAAAGTGAAAGCAGGTCAGCGAAGCTCATCGTATCTTATCTTATCTTATTTTCGCATATGGGGTCAGCTAAGCCGATGCACGTCGACCCATACGGATTTTTCGTGGTTCCCCCTGCCTTATACCATCATTTCATAGATCCTATGTGTTACCCTAACGATATCACGCGGTATAAGATATCTGTAGTCCCCTGGCTCTGGATGCCGATCGTAACGAATTCATCTATAAATATCCACGATGGTCTTCATGAGGAACCGTGTGGAGGTCAACTTGTTATATGCAAACACAAGTGCTTCACTGTAGGAACACCAATGGGACAGAGGTACCCAAGCAATCGACTTTTGTACAAAGTCTCC